TATTAGGTTTTCCTAATATAGTGATAACACAGCGGATACAAAAAGGAAAAAAATTAGAATCTTATATATCAAATTGTTAATAAAGATTATATATCTGAGGGAAAAAAAAAAGATTACAGCCTAGAAAACTCGATGGAGCAGTTCTACTCTGTCACATGGGATCACTTATCAGCTGATAATCGACTTAATGCCACCTAACAACAACATTAATGAAACTGAGCATTTTTTCATGTGCTTAAGAGAACAAAAAACCACACAAATGGGCCGATAAACATCATGATAACTGGTGAAGAATGAAGCTGTCAAGGATTTCATTCTACTTGGATCAATAATCAATGCCCATGGAAGCCGGAGGCAAGAAATCAAACAACGTATTTCATCAGGTAAATCTATTGCAAAAGATCTCTTCAAAGTATTAAAAAGCAAAGATGTCACTTTGATGACTAAAGTACGCCTGACCCAAGCCATGATCTTTTCAACTGCCTCATATGCATGTGACAGCTGGGCAATGAAAAAGGTAAACAGAAGAAACGATCCCTTCAAATTGTGGTGTTGGCGAAGAAGACTGAATATACTGTGGACTGCCAAAGAATGAACAAATCAGTCTTAGAAGAAATACAACCAGAATGCTCCTTACAAATGAGGACGGTAGACTTCAACTTGCTTACTTTGGATACGTCATCAGGAAAGAGCAATCACTAGAAAAGGACATCCTGTTTGTTAAAGCAGAGGGTCAGTGAAAACAAAACTCACTTGGTCAGGATGGATTTGATTCATTAACATTTCTGAAGATGTTTTATTACAAACATGAGAAGTATTGGTTCTGCAGTCTTCCCTTCTTGTAATGTCTTTGGGGATGCAGGGATGCTGCTAAACATTCTACAATGCACAGGACAGGATAGCTTCTCATAAAAAAGAATTATCCAATCCAAAATGTCAACAGTGCCAAGGTTGAGAAACCCTGTAATAGGAGGCTTAATCGGATTGAAATTTGATTTTTTGGTAAAAATATTTCACAGGTAGTTGAGTGCCCATCTATTAGGATACACATAAATATCTGGCTGTCTTTTTGTGATTTTAGCAACTAATGCAATCTATTGATTGATTAGCAGTTACAAAGTAGTGATATTCTAAACGCTACCACTCCTTCATTAGCTGCAAACTTCCCCTCATCACTTTGTTGTTTACCTTAAGTAACAGTTCACATAGGAAAGGCAGGATAAATACTAGATTTATTTACCATTTCTCAAAATACTGAGCTGGTTCCCTGACATCCTTCACAAGTGACTCACACACATACACACACACACACACTTTTTTTTAGTAATTATTATGAATTCATGGATTTAGACCTTTTTGATGTGTTTCAATCCACTATTGGCTCATCTTTGGCCAGTAGGAGGTTCTCCAAGAGGCTCGAGTCCTGTTAATAATCAAGTAGTCTTTGATAACGTCTTCGCTTTCTGATGTAACAAGATGATCCAGGCTAATCTTATACAGTAAAACCTGCGAAAGCCAGAACTTGTGTAAGGCAGAAACCTGTCAGAGAAGGAAAATTCAAATATTTTCCACTACGAGAGAGCAATAGAAAAGTGGTTAAGACTGCACCCTGTCAAAGGCAGAAAACTTGAGACCTGGAAAAAAAAGGCAGTACCACTGAGTTCTGGCTCTCACAGGTTTCACTGTACATTTCTTTCCTCAGACCTGGAACCAGCTATTTCTCCAATAAGACATTTTAGTGGAAAATAACATTTAGAGATCATATCCAAGTCTTTTCTGTAGACAGAGCTGGGAAATGCATATATTTTTTCTTTTAGAAAAAAAACATTATGAGTTCTTCTGATATTTCCAATTCAAATTTAAGATTTCAAGGTTATTATTACTTGTTTTATACTTGGATTTACTTTCTCATGCTGAAAATCCTAGTTCTAATGACATTAACATAATTATCTGCTTTATCCTATTATATAATAGTTTCAGAATAACACTACAAACATTATTACCAATATGATTACTGAAAACATTACAATATTTTCTTTGCAATTTGTTTTGTCCTTAGAATCAAACTACCTTGTTTTACAGATACTTGGAATGATTTTTCTTGATGAGGTTATGCTGCTAACTCAAAATACAGATTCATGTGTTTCATTTCGCTTTTGTCATTTAAGCTAGTCTTTTAAAAAAAATTTAGTTTTGTTGTGTTGGCAAAACAGTTATATGGTTCAAAAAAGAAAAAAAACCTTAAATGTTTAGATGAATATAGCTTCTAACCCTGTCCTCACCCTCCCTCGTGGACAATTAAAAAAAAAAAAGTTTTAGCTTATCATTACAATTTCTAAAAAATACACTCTCTCCTCACTTATCAACATGGTTTGGTTCAAAGACCAGGTTGTAATGTGAAATCAGCACTATGCGAAAATGGAGATGACCACTTCAGATCACAAAATGGAGGACAACTACATCATTACATAACTGCCCAAACCACTGAGAATCACAGGCCAGGCAAGTTGAGACATAACCCTTAACCATCACAGCCAGTGATACTCTCATCTCGCACCTCAGCGTTCATTACCGCCAGACATATGTTGTTAATGCACAAAATAGCCAGATGGTAGATTTTTTGCTACTGTTCTAAGATATAAAACATCAGATAACGAGATGGTCAATAAGTGAAAAGAAGGTATATAAGGAAACATATAGACTTAGCCATCACTTACCTCAACTCTTTCTTGGAAAACGGTAACATACACACTTTTCTCTCCTTCACTTCTTTTACTTGTCAAATATATTGTATATCACTCCATAGCAGGATATTGAGATATTGAAGCTTTCTTTTTTATTTCTATTTGCCTGGTATGCCTTTGTCCATACATTTCTAGCAGCTTTACTGAGTTATAATGTACGTACCATAAAATTCACTCATTTTAAGTCTACAATTCAATGACCGTTCACAAATTTACAGACTGTGTAAACATCACCACAATCCAATTTTAGAAAATTTCCATCACCCCAAAAAAGATCCCTTGTGCCCATCCTTTTATTTTTAACTTTTCTGAATCTCTTTTTTTTAGATGAACCTCTTGCATGGTGGAACTTATTCTGGAAATCTTTTTCTTTTTATAGATGTTATATCTATTTACATTTAATAATAAGATGAGGATTGGTGTTTGGCTTTAGTTATGTCATTGTTTTATGTCATATTTATTTTTATGTCCTATATACACATGTATATAAAACATGCAATCTTGAGCTATGTGATCTATTTTATTGTGCCTTCCCTTTTCTTTGTATATCTTTTGGTAATTAGAAAAGTTTCTATCTTTACTCTAATGGTTACCTTTGTGAATATACCTTATTTAATATCCTCGTATTTTTAATATCTTTTTTTGGTTACTGTCTATTGCCTCCCCACTATAAACAATACTGAAATTGACTAGTAACATCTCCTCATCTTCCTTTCCCAAAGTATCTAATTTGATGCACTATCCTTCTATTTCCTGATTATAGCTCCAGGCCAATTAGCAAGTATATGCTATTTTACTTATACGACTTCCGTTAGCCATTTTCAGAGTTGTGGTTTAGCAACACAGACTTATAACTATGTAGCACGTATTTTACTGTCTCTTCCATCACGTAGCTCTAGTTCTCCTCAGTACGTGGCTTTTTACTGCAAGGGAGTTTTGGCTGGTTTAAGAATTCATAGGGCCCAGACTACCCCAGCACTAACTATTCAGCCTTTCTGGAGTCTACAGAGCCCCCTCCCAGTTTCAGCTGCTCTCAAATTGGTCTCCTGAGCTTTCTACAATTAATGGGGTCTCCTCCCTTTAGAAGGGAGTACCTGCTGGTGGTCTGATTTCTCGGTTCTGTAAGTCTTCCCTCTGCTTCTTACCACACAGTTACTGATATGATGCTGGTTTTGACGCTGCTGCTGCTTTGATTGGACTCTAACCACTTGTATTTCGGAGTTCACAGGGACACCCTGAAACTTAGTTTTTTGTTTGTTTTTATTTTGTTCATTTTTCTTAAGTCTCTCTCTCTTTTTAATTGTGGTAAATATATAGGTAACAAAACATTTGCAATTTCAACAATCTTCACATGTACAGTTCAGTGACATTATATATGTTTATCATTTTGTTCAACCATCACCATTAACTGAAACTTAGTTTTGTTGTATACGTTGTCCATGATTTTGTTGTTGTGGTGGTCGTGGCGGAAGTTATGTTATCCTACTTCCTCTTCTAGCTATTGGAAAGGATTTTGGGAGATTAAAAAAACTATGCCACTGTCACTACCATCTTGCTGCCATCTCTTCTTTAAGTTTTAAGTTAATTTAGTATATCACATCCCCCCGTACAGATTTCAGTGTTTATCATCATTTATTTACAGAAGATCAAATCACCAAAGTTATACACTAAGGCTAATCTTAAAAATGTTCATTAGAACTCATCTGCAGTTTACTTTATAGGATGTACAAACTGTAATTAAAGCTACTAGTTGCTACTTGGAGCTTTGGTGGCACAGTGGTTAAGCGTTAAGGCTGCTAACCAAAAGGTTGGCAGTTCGAATCCACCAGCCGCTCCTTGGAAACCCTATGAGGCTAATTGTCTACTTTGCCCTATACGAATGCTATGAGTCCGAATCAACTCGACGGCAATGGGTTTGGTTTGGTTTTTTGGTTTAGTTGCTACTTGGTAATAGTGACTATAATTTATATGGGTTAAGAAAGCAGACAACGGACTCTGGTTTTCAGTAACTATATCAGATACTCTGATTTCTCTTTTTTTGATTATTACCATCCTCATCCCCCAATTAAGTAGCATGAAATCCACAGTACAAAGCGGTTCAAGTATTGTTTCCTCATCAGCAGGATGCATTAAATTTGTACATTAAATAGCATACAACAACAAATTGCATATTACAAGTGATGCTATATAATATATGTTTTCAAACTGGTCTGAGGCTAGAATCCCAGAATAAAAAAATAAAGGCAAAAATCTTACCTCTGTGAGACGTAGTCGTGAAGATGCAGCCATATAATCGGATTCTAATTTGTTCTTCTCGGAGTTAACTGTAGTATTTTGAAGAATTAAATCCACTTTTTGTATATTCAGAGAAGTACAAATCTAGGAACAAACCCCTCAAGAGTTTAGTTTTTATGCTACCTATGTTTTAGAACTAAGAAAAATAAAATAGTTTGACAAAACTACAAACCATGAAAAAATAACATTTTTCTAATGTGAGTGACATCTCTCTTAAATAGTTCTTTTTATAACTATTTCTTATCAGAGAATTTTTTAAGGTGTTTTCCTGTGTATGCAGAGTCATCTGGAATAAAATAATTCAGTCTTAATGAGTGCTTTCAACCTATTTATTAACCTATAACAGAAAACCTCAAACAATGAAGCAAGCTGAAATTGCTGATAAAAATCTCTTGCTTATATAAATGTCAAAAACCTTATTCGAGACCACCCGCCTCAACAAAGCCCTCTGAAGATTTTACTGTCTTGTCTAAATTACCTTCTATTAAATACATAAATAAAAAATTTTAAATGCTTTACCTTTATTAGGTTTGTTAATTCAGTAACAAGTTCTGCTTTTTGGACATTTATTTCTTTGATTTTGGTACTTGCTTTTCGCTCTTCCTCTTCAAGGTTGCAAGTATCCTGTTCCATCAGTTTTAAACTATATGAAACACAAAATGATGTAGAAATCAGAGTTAAACACAAGGATTGAGACCAAATCCTTAGGCCACCTGCAGCTTTATGGGCTATTTAGCAATGCTACTCAGATGTACAAATGCTAGCTCTGACTTTAAGCAATCATTTTATGCAATCAGTCAATATCAAAAAGTATTTGTTGAGATATACTATGTGCTCAGTACAGTCTAGGTAATGCTAGTGCTAATGGTGTAGAATGATGAGTTCCTGAAACATCTTGGAACATGGGTGAACCTGAGACATTATGCTGAACAAAGTAAGTCAATCACAAAAGGACAAATATTGTATGATCTCATTTTATAAAATGACAAGAACAGCTATATATACAGAGACCAATGTTCACTGGTTTACCAGGGGTGGGGGTGAGGAAGTGGGATTCATTCTATGGATAGTAGTCACTTTTTACTTATGATGATGGAAGAGACAGTACTGAATATGGGAGAAGTGTACACAGCTTAACCAAGATAACTGATGCCACGAGGTTGCGCACACGTGCACACACACACACACACACACACACACACACACGATGTTAAAGTAAATGCTGTTATATATTATTTTACAACAAAAAAAATACACGTGCGTTTACACATATGTGTATGTGTGTGAGTGTGCGCGTGTGTGTGTATGTGTATTTATATACATATACAATAAAACAAATAAGGGCCAAAGAAACTGACACTTCTTAGATATAAACAAGCACCTCAGGGGATTAGTTTTCTTGGTTTGAAGACTTAGGGTCATAGTCTCATGGGACAACTCAGTCAATCTGCACAATACAGTTCATAAAGTTTATGTTCTACATCCGAGTCTGCTGACTGCATGTGGGGTCTTAAATATTAGCAGCCATTTAAATACAACTACTGGTCTCTACTTGTCTGGAGCAAAAGATAAAGGAAACCCAAGGCTCAGAGAAGGAACCAGTCTATGACTGTCTATAAGAACCAATTCTTAAAGGCTAGTCTTAATGAGATTGGTGATCGAAGTCTGTGTGTGTGTGTGCTTTAATGTATCAACAATTAAAAGATCTCTGTGGCTTGGTGAATCAGTATTTTCCAAATGATCAGCGCATGATGTAACAAAATCATTCATGGGGTTAAAGACCCATTTAAAGTGTAATGGATTTGAATGTAACAGAGTACACAGGTTCCTTATATGGTTTTAGATTCCACATTGTAATTAACCTTTAAGAAATTACACCTTGGCTAGTTGTGATGTAGTATTAAAGAAGAACATCCACAATTATCTGAATAGGCTATTAAAATACTCCTCCCTTTTCTAACTGTGCATCTGTGTGAGGTCGGATTTTCTTCAAATACTTCAACCAAAACAACATCTCACAACAGACTAACTGCAAAAACAGAGAAGCGAATCCAGCCGTCTTCATTTAAACTTGACATTAAAGAAATTTGCATAAATGAAAAACAATGCCACTCTTCTTAGGAAATTTATTTTTGTTTTGGAAACATTATTAAATAAATACTTTTAACATTTTTCACTTTTAATTTCTAATGGGGTAAATATCAATAGACGTAACCCATATAAACAAAACTTCAGGGTCTTCAATAATTTTTAACCATGTAAAGGAGTCTAAGGACCATAATAACTGATCTAGTGAACAGAAAAACTCACAATACTTAAGATTCACCTTCCTTTGCCACGGGGACTAAAATTCTGTTTTAAATAGTAGGAATAAAGCTTTAGAGAGTAACTATTATAAAACATGGTTCTGGGAACTGTGTTGTTATTTCAATAATATTCATCATCCCCATATAACTCTTTGTGCTCTTCCCCCAAATAGGCTGAAAGATACCTTCCTAGTTTGGAACTAATTTTTTGTTCCAACTGTCTTTTCTTGGTTTTTCTTTCAAGAAGGTCCTTCTTCTTTTGTCTAAGTTCATTGTCTTTGTGTTCTAGATGTTGGTTTGTCTCACATAAGGCAATCAATCCTGAGCCCACTGCGTCCAACTTTCTATTAATTTCCTATGAGGAGATTCAAATTGTTAATATATTTTTAAAACAAGTTGCAGTTAAAATATTTTAAATCCAGTTAATATTATATTCTAACACTCAAATTAAAATAACCAACCTTTAGCTGTTCTTCTAAGTGTCTTCTTTGCTCTAGATCTACAGTGACTGTGAGAAACTGGGCTACTTTTAAGGATGTGTTACTAGAAATAACTTTGTTTGAATAAAAAGAGGTTTTCACCACATACTTTTCTTCTGCTGTATAAATTTGTTTTAATTGAGTTTCTTGTATTACCTACAATGTAAAACAGTAGTATTAGTGCACATCCAATAATAATTACGATACATGTTTTAAAGGATGAAAGAATTAAAAAAAAAACAAAAAACAGATCAAGTAAATTTTGGAAGATTAAAAATATTAGATATACTTGGTTGTTTTTTTTTTAAACTTATCCAACAACAATTCTATCATGGTAGCTGATACATTTGAGGTTATTATTCTGGAAAACATTAAGACACAGGGAATTAGGGAAAAAAAAACCCGCTACTAGAAAAGTCTGTTGTACCTCCACTTCACTATACAATCTTTCACAAGTGGGTATATTTTTTGGAGTTTTGTTAACATCTAAATAAGAGATACCAGGAGCACATGCCCTATAGAGTCAACTGTGTTATACTGGGTAAGTCATTTATGTTCTCTTCCCCTTTGTTATAATGTTCATGATCTTATATATACATGATCTTATATTTAGCTCCTGTATATTTGGGAGAATACTTAACAGAAAAACTGTATTTTTTTAACAGAATTTCAAATAAAATATTTCAAAGACTTTTTTCTTTATATTTTTTTCTCTCAATAACTTTATAGTTTTATAACCTAAACAACATTCTAAGCACCATAACATTATTGCATCAATTTCTGTATAGTTATAAAGAACAGTAGGCTGTGATACAGATTTTCCCAATCACTAAAGTTTCATAACCAATACTATTCTGCCTCATTTCCTTCCAGAGATTTATAGTCTAAGTAAAGAGATAAAACATACGTAAGCACACTTAATTTAATAGGGTGTAAACTGGCATCTGGAAACACTGAATAATGTGGAATAAAGGGGAAAGACTGGATAAGGTATACGAGATAATCTTAAGTGGAACCTTTACGAAGGGGAGGGCTTACCATAACAGTTCTATACCCCAGTCTACCCATTCTAAGAAAAAATTAGATAATCTAGAATACAAGAATTTAAAATGATTAAACCATCAGTATAATATATGAATATAAGTTTATCAAGCAAGGCAGAATCAGGTAAGAATGTGTCTCTTTTGAGGATCTGACTTTATTCAATTAGTCTAAAGGTATTAAATATTTATTTACTCTAGTTAACTTTACATCATTCTTGTCATAAAGTATTAGTCAACAGTCACTGTTTTCTGTCATATTAAAAATGTAAAATTCAAAGATAATTTGTGCATGGGTAAAAACAAAATGACACACTTATTTAAATTTCAGACATTTTTGCTTGATTTTAAGTTAAGACGTTTTAACAAAAATACATTTTTGGTAAAGATTCACTAACGGCTTACCCGTTCAATTCTTTCTCTGGTCCTTTCAGTTCCTACAGGAACTTCATGAATATGATACTGGAAGCAAAGATAACTCATTACAGGATCAGGTGCATCAAATAACTCTCGCAAATAAGAGAAAAATCCGTATTGTCTGAGAAAAAAAGTACCTATTAGATTCTTCTTCTTAAAATACTATGAAAAAATTTAATAGCTGACAAGTGGCCAATAAACAATAAATAAAATGTATACTGTTTAATGTTAGTATAGGAAGTCTTTTTTTTTTTTTTAACATTTTAAAATCATTTAATATTGATTATTTCCTTGGTAGAAAAAGTTTTATGCTTTTTATGAGTACAAACTACTAATCTGTTTTGCTGTTTCTTCCACTGCTTTTATTTTTAGAATGTCTGCTTACAACCAGAGTTAAGATATTTACTTATACCTATTTTGTAACTGGAAACTGACATTTAGTCCTTCTGGAAATTACTTCTGCATTATGAAATAATGATTTATCTATTTTATTTTCCTAAGAGCTAACCACTGTTTTAGCATCTTTTGTTAAATAGTTCTGTATTGCTCTAGTGACAATAAATATCATCTTCATCACATATTACATATATCAAGATCTGTTTCTGTGCCTAGAGTTTTTCTTATTTTAGACTTAAGTAGAAATCCTATAAAATAATAGAGCCTATACAAACATATATATGTGACACAGAGATAATTAAAATATATTTAAGAGGTAAACAATTACTCAATAGTCAAAGCAACAGGTTATTTCTAATAATATTTTCAAGACTTACTTTAGTTCACTCAGAGACCTTGAAGGTGCTTTGTCTGCATATGAACTACTGGGAGCAATAACAGCATTTACTCTTAATTTTTTATTGTCACGAACCTGAATATAGGGAAAAAATATTATTTTAATTACCATAAACTATCAATTGAAATTACCTCATTTCCATTGGCATTCACAGATGATTACAAATTTGAACACTGATTGGATATTTAATGACACTTAGGAAATTTTTTTTAGATATAATAATGACAATGACATTATAGTTATATGGTTTTTAGAGAGTCCACTTCTTTTAGAGATACATACTGAAATGTCCTCAGACAAAACAGTATGACTACAATTTGCTTCAAAATAATACAGAAGGAGGATAGTTCTGCTTCTACTAGTAGTAGATTATCTTCTCTTGGCCTACCTTTTCAGCAAATAATGTTTATAAACTCTGGGCAAAATTTAAAAAAAAAAACAATTATTTGAAGGCATCACAAACGGACAGAAGCTACAGGGAAGTTGACACTGGAAAAAGGAAAAGAGCAGTGGGTGTGACTTATATTTATGTAGCTTGTAACTTGAGGGAACTCCCCAGTCTGCAGCATGGGGGTAGGGATGAATTCAGGCAGAAAGTTGCTATCTTCCTGACTAAAGCAATCATAGGACAGACTTTGGGGCAACTACAATGTCTGGAAAGTGATAAGAAAAATTCATGGAAGGAAGGAACTGCAAAGTGAGGAGCCTCCAAATCTGCATATAAACTCTTCCCAAATCCGTGACTGTCCCTTGAATTATTTCTGCCTTCACTTGTTGAATCTTAATTCTGAAAGGCAGAAAGAAACTGAATGGAGATTTCAGTTGCTGTCCACTGCATGGGAGACAGATTTGACAAAGAACATGAATTCACAAATCCAAAGAGCTCAATGAACTCCAAGCAGGATAAACCCAAAGAGATCCACATCGAGATACACTATAATCAAACTCTAGAAAACCAAAGATAAAGAGAGAATCCTGAAAGCACTGAGAGAGAAGAAAACAGTCACATATAAAGATCCCGGTAAGATTAAGTGTCGATTTCACCTCAGAAACCTTGGGGCCAGAAGGAGATGCAAGGACGTATTTAAAGTGTTGAAAGAAAAAAAGAAACAAACAAAAAAACTGTCAACCAAGAATACTATACCCACAAAACTGTCCTTCAACAGATGAATGCATAAACAAAATGTGATATACAGTCATGCGTCACTTAATGTCCACGATACAGTCTGTGAAACAGGACATCATTTGATATGGGTGTTGTGGGAACACCACATAGCATTTCAGTTTACAAGGTGCAGGTGGGGCAGAAGGGCGTGGCCTCTGGGCTGGGGGCTTAGCAGCTCAGGGCCTGCCCAAGGCCGGAGGCACAGGGAGGTGGGGACTTGGGATGCGGGCCAGGGCCCTTGGAGCTGGCCGGGTGGTGCGTACTGTTTCACAGTTTACAAGGCACTTTCAAAAGCCTTGCTGCTTTCAATCCCTCTACAGCCTCCTGATCCCCATTTACAGGTATGGAAAACAAGGCTCAGGAGGTTAACAGGCATGCCCAACGTCATCTGGCCAGCAAATAGTTTACAGCTGTCACTGATTGTGATTTCTGAACTCTATTATAACCTTATGGGACCACAGACATCTACTCGGTTGGATGCTGCCTAAATGGGCATTATGCAGTGTATGATTGTATACATACAATGGAATATTATTCAGCCATAAGAGAAATGAAATGCTGATATATGATATGATATGGATAAATTCTGAAAACATTATGCTGAGTGAAATAAGTTAAGACATAAAAGAACCAATATTGTATGATCCCACTTATGTGAAATATCTAGAACAGGCAAGTGCAGAGAAATCAAAGTTTATTGCGGTTTCCAGGGATGGACTGGAGGGGGACATGGGGAGTTACTGCTTAAGTGGTACTAAGTTTCTGTTAAGGGTGATGAAAAAATCTGGAAATGGATAGTGGTGGTGGCTGCACAACATGGTGAACGTAATTAATGTCACTGAATTGTGCACGAAAAAATGGTCTAAATGGTAAACGTTTTGTCATATACACTTTACCACAATAAAATTAAAAAAAAAAAAAAGGCAAAAGACTCGCACAGATGTTTTACAAAGGAAGATACATGAATGGACAATAAATGCATGTAAAAATGCTCAATATCATTAGTCACTGTAGAAATGTAAATTAAAACCTCAATGAGATACCATAACACACCCACTAGAATGGTTAAAATTAAAGAACAGTATATGTTGGCAAGGATGTGGAATAACTGCAATTGTACAATGCTGGTGAGTGTAAATGATACAGCCATTTTCAAAAAGATTTGGTGGGGGAAAAGAAAAAACAGCAAAGTGATTTGGGGACCAGGGAGAACTGACCAGAAAGGGACGTGAGGGAATTTTCTAGGGTAACGGAAATATCTTATGTACTGACATGTGTATGCATTTGTCAAAATCCATCAAACTGGACAGTTAATAATTATGTATTCTAGTGCATGAACATCTAAACAACAACAAAAACCCTATTAAAATAAAACAATAAACTCTAATGAGTATGTCTGCATTTCACAGTGGCATGCAATAGAAATTCTAAAAATACTTTCAGAACATTCTAAGCTTGAACAAATGAATAAGTATAATGATGATAAGGCGGCCATGTTTTTTACTGCTGCAGAGGGAATTACAAGCACACAGAGAAGAAAGACTAAAATGTACCCTTTAGTGTTACAGTGTAACTGAAGTATCAATGTGAACTTATGGTGCACTGTGCTCTCTTTCTCTGGATAAATACAGAAATAAATACAGAAATAAGGGATTACATGAGAGGGCTCAGAAGCAATGAGACACATCAGCAGTAGTGAACATATCTAGTACCCAGATCTCGATTTCTAAAAGGAAACAGACTTTCCTGGAAAAAAGGCTGACTGTAAAGTTGAGACAGGGAAAATTCAAGATGAGCTTGTAACATCCTGCTGTGCCAAAAAGTAAAGAAGTGCTAAAAATATGATGGCAACATATCAAAAAGGACACAAGAGTTGGCATGAAGGGGTTCCAATGGCCAAATCTGGAACAATCTGAACATTCAAATAATGATAGTAATGGATTATAAACCATAAAATAAAATTCTATTAGCCCAAGAGACAGAAAGGGCCACATAAACTGAAACTGCATCAGCCTGAGCCCAGAAGAACTAGATGGTGCCTGGCTACCACCAAAGACTGCCCTGACAGGGAACACAACAGAGAGTCACTGATGGAGCAGGAGAAAAGTGAGGTGCAGAACTCAAATTCTAGTAAAAAGACCAGACTTAACGGTCTGACTGAGACCAGAGGAACCCCAGAAAGCATGAACCCCAGACTCTCTGTCAACTCAGCACTAAAACCATTTCCGAGGCCAACTCTTCAGACAAAGATTAGACTGGACTATGGACATAAAATGGTATTCATGAAGAGTGTGCTCAAGTAGATACATGAGAATAAATGGGCAGCTCCTGTACGGAGGTGAGATGAAAAGGCAGAGAGGGTCAGGAAATGGTGGAATGGACACAGGAAATCATGGGTAGAAAGGAGGAGTGTGCTGTCACAGTACAGGGAGAACAACTAGGGTCACATAACAATGTATGTATAAATTTTTGTACGAGAGACTAACTTGAATTGTAAACTTTCACTTAAAGTACAACAATAAAATTTTTTAAAAAGTTAAAAAGTAGATACATTAAAAAAAATAAAATAAAATTCTATGAGTCTATAGATACACTGAATATACCATGGACTGCCAAAAGAATGAACAAATCTGTCTGGGAATGAGTACAACCAGAATGTTCCTTAGAAGCAAATATGACAAGACTGCATCTCACACACTTTGGACATGTTGTCAAGGGGGATCAGTCCCTGGAGAAGGACATCAAGCTTAACAGAGGGGCAACGAAAATGAGGAAGACCTTCAACAAGATGGACTGACACAGTGGCTGCAACAATGGGCTCAAGTTGTGAGGATGGTGCAGGACCAGGCAGTGTTTCGTTCTGTTGTACATAGGGTCACTATGAGTCGGAACCGACTCAACAGCACCTAACAACAACAACAACATACTGATACAATAATTGAATGAATAAATAAATGAGGGACAAGGAAAAGCTCTTCCTTACTGCAGAATGTCAACTAATAAATACAGAGGGAATGATACAGTTAGAATCATTACTAGCTGTTAAATGTAGCAGGTAGTTTCATGAAAAAAATAGGATATCTCAAAGTATCTTCATACAAATAATTACAAAAGGAAAAACAGTTTTCCTATAACGCTTGTTTTGAAAATACCAATTTGTGTCAAACAATTAATATATTGGGGAAAATTTGAACATAATGTGAACTTCACATTTGCTTACATGTGATTTCATCCACAAGAAACACTAGGTTTTCTCTAGGTGAATCCAGAAAACTACACCCAACTGAACTGAGCTGCATAGGAATGCACATATCCCTGCTTTAACCACTACACGGTAACTCAAAAGCTGCAGTCCTTCCAAAGCCCACTTCCACAAACCAACTTTCGGTCTTTTTCAAGGTAAAGTGCCATATTTATCATATTTGTGTATTTCTTAACAACTATACTATCATTTTTATTAGGTTTATCTTTTTTTTATGTGTCATGTGAATGTTGTGTCCTAACGCCTTCTTTCCCATAAACCCTATGGGTATTTATTACATTATTTTGCACAGTGCAGTGACTTTTAGGAATGCATATGATGCATTATAGCAAAACTGACTATACTTTACAATGAAGAAACCTAGCAGATTCCATCTTAACCAAGCGATCAAAGTGAACTCACCAATAATGGGATCAACATCATGTACCTCCAGATGCGATGCACAAAGAATGATACAACAATCAGTTCTGTGATAAACCTGCCCAAAATGCATCACCTGAAACTAATAATGAGGAAACATAAGGCAAACCCAAATTGAGGGACAACCTCCAAATAACTGGCCTTTTAAAAAATGCCAACATCAGGAAAGGCCAAGAAAGACTGAGGAACTCTTTCAGATTAAAGAAGATCAGAGAGATACGATAGCTAAATGCAATACATGATCCTAGAATGGAATTTGTATTGGGGCAAAAATACAAGGACAGTACTGAGACCACTGAAGAAACCTTAAAATATATTGTGGATTAAATAATAGTATTGTATCCATTTTAAATCTCTTAATGTTTATAAGTGTACTATGGTTATGTATGAAAACATCCTTGTTATTAGAAAATAAACACGGAAGTAACTAGAGGTGACTTATTACTCTTTAACTTACTCTTAAATATGGGAGAGAGAGAAAATGAAAATAATAAAGCAAAAGGGAAAAATGTAAACTGGTAAATCTGGACAAAGTATATACAGAAGTTCCACATACTCTTCTTACAACTTTTCTTTAAGTTTAAAATTATATGAAAACAAGAAATTATTTAAAAAATAATACAGGAGTAGAGGCATAGATGAAACAATATTGGCCATGAGTCAATAAATCTTGAAGCTGGTATGTATGGTTCATTAAGTTTTTAAAATTTATTGTTTTAGGGTCAAATTAAATAAAACCAAATCACACAGTGAGAAAGTAATTTCCTTTTTGATATTTCTAACTATACCAAGTTGAAAGGTGTGGTATGGTGCCAGCATAACTCCTTGTTAGCTCCTTTTTAAATCATGTTATCTGCTTTCAGTAAGTAACAATATGGATCCAGAATTTACTAACATTGTTTTTTACTGTATTGATTGTTATGCATATGGAGCCCTGGTGGCACAGTGGTTAAGAGGTATGGCTGCTAACCAAGATCAGCAGTTCAAATCCACCAGCTGTTGCTCAGAAACCCTATGGGGCAGTTCTACTCTGTCCTATAGAGTCGCTATGAGTCAGAATCAACTTGACAGCACTGGGTTTGGTTTTTTGGTTTTAATTTGGTTTATAATATTATTTCCTCTTAGAATGCTTTAGAAACAATTACAGTAGAAGGTTATATACAATAAATTTCACAATTTAAAATACACAGAAAGTTGTACATGTAAAAGGAAGTTCTGGCTCTACCTCCTCAGATATGGAAGAGTTAATTGTTACAGCACAAAAGAAACAGAACAAAGGCCCAACTTTCAGGAATCTATATCATATTATCAATATATGGTTCATATCCTCAGTGTAGAGGCAGCACAGGCTTTTGAGGCAAAGTGAGGTACTCAAGTGTAAGCAAAGTTGGTCATTTGCAAAACAAATCATCTAGTTAAACCTGACTGCACACCCTTCACAGTATGCCATGTTTCACAGATACGTAACCCCAGCAACCTATTTCTTCAGTGAGCTCTAACACTAGATTAATAGCTCACTGGTTAGGCTTAAATAGTTTTAAAATATACAAATGTTTAACTTTTTGATGTCCATTTTATAATTTTATATGTCTAACCCTTTTATCCAGTAACTGTTACGCTGACATTCCCCACTGCGGGGTTTACATTAACTTTACCCAAAGAGTTTGGTCTTAGGCCCCAGTTCCTGAGAAATGATGTCCAAAAAAAACCTTGGAATATAAGTGTCTTCAATAAGGACTCCAGACCACAGCTAACACATAAACTATGCCACTGAGATGATGAGGTGATTCTGGGGTGGGGGCAGGCAACGCCAGAAAGACCCATCGCCTAATACCTCATGATACTGACCAACCTCAGGGGGAAGGAGCTGGAGTCTGCATTATGTAATGAGGCCCTCAATAAAGGCTCTGGACAGTGAATCTCTATGAGCTTCTTGGTTGGCAAAGGAAGGGTAACATACCTTCTTTGGGATACAGAAGCTCTGCGGTGGAATCCCTCCCAGACCTCACCCTATGCATCTTTTTACGCTGATTCTGCTTTGTATCCTTTATAATAAAGCTATAATTGTAAGTGTAGAACTTTGCAAGAGTTATATGAATCTTTCTAGCAAATTATCAAACCTGGGGAAATAGTGAGAGCCAACAGGTCAGAGGTAGGAGAGGGGGGTGGATGGCAAACCCTGAGCTTGTGGCTGCTGTACTGAGGCAGCAAAGGGAACTCCCAAACATGCAGTCAGCAGGTCAGAAGTGAGGGGAGCCCCAGGGACTCCCAAGCTTGCAGCTGGCATCTGAAGTCTTAGGCCGACATGGCAGTCTGAAGGATATTGTCCTTTTTACTTGTGACATATGAACTAGCTCTGGGTGCTCAGGGTCAGAGAAAGAAGTGCTGCATGAGCAGCTGGGGTTAGAACTGAACACAGAAGTGGAAAGTGGAGATTTGTTGTATCCTCATACCCATCAACCTCCAAACCAGAAGTAGGGTAATATGGTAAAAGCCAAAGAAAATAAGTGTTCTTTCTAAATACTGTGCACCAGAGAAAAAGAAGGCCAACTTGCTGATTCAAGGTCCTGACTTACTACTTAAGGTTTAAGGAAAACAAAATCCATACCTTAACCTTTATAGGCTTTTAAAGAAGTAGAACGCATATACAAAAGAACAAAGAAATCTTACAACATTAACAACAATAATGGCTAACAAGCATTCTGCTAAATATTTCCACAATTCTTAACTGAATTAATCCTCACAACTACCTTATGAAATAGGTAATATTACTCTCATTTTATAGACAAGGAAACTGAAACACAAAGCATTCAGGTAAGTTGCCCAACTTAGCTGTTGTTGGGTTTTGCACAGTCAATTCAGTAGCAAAGCAGAACTCAAATCCTAACAGCCTGGCTGCAGTTTGTCCTCTTAACTACGAAGCCATTCCGTATTTCAGTAGCTTATAGTCTCAGTCAGCAGTGCCTTCTGACCAGATACAGGATTCTCATTCTTTTTAAAGAGGTTTTATTTATATTAATAAGCAACAACATCATAATGCTCCCCTTTCCAAACAAAAACTGAGTTCATTTCAATACATTTCCAAAAAGGATGTCCACCATGTTTCTTTCCCTTAAAAGAATACAACAGAATTACTCTTCATATTAATTCCACATGATAATTTTAAAACCTGTGACCAATGAAATTATGGATTATCTTTTCCTCCTACAAAAAAATTAATTTCCTAATAATGGTATAAACAGGGAAGAATAACCAAAATTGAGTGATTTTACATAAGTTAACTGCTGTAATTTGTATATCACATTTTGCTCTAGTGAAGTTAAAAATTTAAGCACTGAAAGGTAAGTGCCAAATGGGTTAAAGTATTGTTAGTTAGTACTTGCCTCTTTGAGGAAAACCTCCATATCTTCTTGGGCTTCAAATACAAACGCTCTCAAGTCATTTGATGGAATATGATTTTCAATATATTTGGCATTTTTATTATCTTTCATATTGATCTAAACAAAAAAAAAAAGAAAAAAATCCGTTGATTTTCATGAAGCCCAAACTGATTACTAGAACATGTTTTTAACAGATTAAATTTAATACCTGAGAAAATAACCAAAAAGAAAAAAAGTGGTATCTAAGGGTCAACATTTTAAAACACCGACTTATTCTAATTTATCCACAAACATCTGACACACAGTTAAACAAAAGCTAAGACTCTAACAGCACCTGATGCATATCGGCACAGTTCTAGTCTGACACACACGGGGATGCCCTGAGTCGTAATCAACTCTATGGCAACTGGATGGAGTCCCTGGGTGGTGCAAACGGTTAACATGTTCGGCTGCAAACAGGAAGGTTGGAAGTTCAAGCTCACCCAGGGCCACCTCGGAAGAAAGGCCTGGTGATCTACTTTTGGGGAAAAAAAATTAGCCATTGAAAACCGTATTGAGCACAGTTGTACTCTGACACAAAGGAGGTTGCTGTAAGTCAGGGTAGACTAGTGGCAATTGTTTTTTGTTTAATACTTAAGTTCCTTTTTGGTTAATTCACTGAAAATACTTGAAACTGTCTTAGATGGTGACCTAGCAGCATAAAAATTTCTCATTTACCCCCAAACTTCCATAGAAGACTTCATACTATACACAGAAATAACAGATAGGCACAAAACATAAAGAAATGAATAAAACTTCATGAAACTAATGGGGGGGGGGCTTGCTATGGCTTAAATATAACTATTAGTGCCTTCAAGTGAAACCCTAGTTTTGTACCACCAGAGCATAACTGAAAAAAAGTGTTAACTGATTAGGCAATTCTGCATGCAAGGTTCAATATATAAGATACCAAGATAGGTCAGAAACAAAAATTGGCCTCAAGAAGAGGACAATCTATTCTTTATTGCAGATGAGTACGCTGAAAAGCAGAGCATGCTAAAGTTCCATACAGAGGTATATAAAAAGTGCTACCTATGGAATTTTAGAGGACAAGTAAATTACCTCTAGCAGATGGAAATCAACTTTCTTGAAAAAACTGAAGCTTTATGAAAGAGAAGGTATTTACGCACTATATCATGTATCTTACATATGACCTTCATCAAGTATTTACATCTCTGAGCTTTAATACCTTGATTTGTAAAATGAGTATGATGGAACAGAATATACCTCAAAGGAAAAAATGTGGATTAAAAGAGAATGTTGGCCAATATTACTCTTTATTTTATATCAATGATTGTAGAAAAATGGGAAAACAGATACAAAAACAAAAAAATTAATACCACCACACAGAGATAAACACTAGGAACATTTAATGTCTATTGTCTCACTTTTTTTTTTTGGTTCCAAATTACTTTAATGAAAAGAATGGTACAAATGGAAAAAAATGTAAGTGGATGTTTGGTGCAACTTACTTATAGCTTAAAAGTAATCCCAATATGACCATGGGAAGTCATCTTTTTTAATAGCTATAGATAAGCCAGCCTAGGAGTTAGTTCTCATTATCACTGTCTCCCAAGGTGTAATATCAGTGATAGTCTGCCATGTCAGATTCCAGGGGCCCCATCTTGTATAAGTTGGTTATATGGTCATCCAATTCTTTGATGGATTTCACCTGCTCATTCAGGTAATGAATTTTTGTCAGTGGCCAGTTTATGCACTTCTAGTAGTGACTGATTCACATTTTCTTCCAAGTGTAATGCACTCTCATTGCATTCCGCCTGCTCTCCCAATCACAATCCGAATTCTTGAAAGCCTGAAGGAAGATTTAGCCACTCCGCTGGTTCTGCAGCTTCGTCAGTTTCTTAGCATGTATACTCCTCCTCATGAGACTGACGAAGAAAATATTTGGCAAAGGTCTTCAAAGTCACATCTCCATGGTCAAAGCAGTAAGACACAGATAGACACAGGGGCGTAGCACTCCAAGATGATCTGGTGGTTGAAGGCAGCCTCCTGTTTCACAGTTTTTTTAAATGAAATCTTTCTATATGTCCTATTCCATAACCTGTTTTATAATTCATTAACATGTCATAAATGTCCTTTAATATTAGTAAATAGAGACATTTTTAATGTCTTACATAGTATTTTACTGTAAGGATATAGAATAATTTAGTTAACTAATGGGTACCTTTGGAAATTTGTTCTTTCCGCCATAGTTCTGCTATTATAAGCACTACTATGAGGCGTCAATCTGTAAATAAATCTTAGTACACGTCTCCAATTCTAGATTGGAATTATTAGAAATAATTTATGGAAGTAGACAGCTAATTGACAAGCTAGATGACCAAAATTTTAAGTTTAGATATTGCTTACGGATATGGTAGCATTTTAACAAAACATTGAAAAGTTAGCACAAAAAAAACCAGACTTACTGGTCTGACAGAGACTGGAGAAACCCCCAGAGTATGGCCCCTGGATGCCCTTTTAACTCAGTACTGAAGTCAATCCTGAAGTTCACCCTTCAGCCAAAGATTAGACAGAGCCATAAAACAAAATGAGACTAAATGGCACACCGGCTCAGGGGCAAGGACAAGAAGGCAGGAGCAGACAGGAAAGCTGGTAACAGGGAACACAAGGTCGAGAAGGGGAGAGTATTGACATGTCATGGGGTTGGGAACCAATGTCACAAAACAATATGTGTCTCAACTGTGTAATGACAAACTAATTTGCTCTGTAAACATTCATCTAAAGTACAATTTAAAAAAAACGAAAAGAGGGAAAAAGATACCTAGAAAATTCTCATGTGTGTGGAAGTTAACCAACACATCTCTAAATAATTAAGGGTTAAAGAAGAAATCACAGGGAATTAGAAAAAACGGAATTGAATGAAAATTTGTAAAAAAAATAAAACCCTGAAGAGTTAGGTAACTGTGTGTGTGGACACAGATAGAGGGAGGCTGTAGGAAAGGTGAGGCCAGGGAAGGTAAAACAGTAGAATATATTACTTTATCTCAAAGATTTAAATGTATTTTAAAATGTAAATGTATGCAAGATGGTGGAGTAAGAAGCGCCACGCTTCCATCCTCCCACAGAAACATCAAGAAACAGGCAGAAACTGTCACAACCAACTTTGTGTATTAATTTTGCTAATATATGTAAGATATAATAAAAACAAAAAAGATGTAAAATTACTTTCATAAAAGTATGACACAAACGTGATACAGAAAATAGAACTTTTCATGAATGCTGCAAGAAGTGTTTTATTTAAAAGAAACATAGTGAATTCTCTACTAAAGAAAAAAACAACTAGCAAAAATAATCTGAGTCATTTTTGAATAAATTTTTAAGTTTATATATGTATCTACATCTAACATATCATTATCAAGAAATATAGTTTTTCATCCTTTTAAGTGGCCAAACTTATTAAATATTTTAGATGGAAATCTTCCTAGTAAACTCATGGCCACAACTGATTAAAATGATTCACTAAATACAAATTAAGATCTATGAAATGTTTATGATGTCATTCTCAGAATTCTCAGAATGCTCTATTTTTGGAGCAGGTGATTTTCTTGGCTATTCTGTCAGGTGTTCCTTGTCAACTTATTTATTTATAGTAGTTTTCTACCCCTTTTGCAGATTTTAATCTATGGTCTGCTATACTTTAAGAATAGCAATTGTTAGAGGAACCAGACAGCAAAGCTAATTTTATATATGATTCTTGGTCAGTAAGCTGCTAGTTTCATACCTCTTTTTATAAAACATACACAGGTTTTATGATAGTTATTACCCTCACTCATCATAGGCCCTTTTAAAAAGTTCATGTATGGATTTAGCAGTATGCCAGATGAAACAAATGTTATAAGCAAAAAACAAGGCGTTAATATCCCACTGAAACCAAACTCGCTGCTGTTGACTCAATTCCGACTCATAATGACCCTACAGGACAAAGGAAAACTGTCCCATAGGGTTTCCAAGGCTGTAATCTTTATGGAAGCAGACTGCCACATCTTCCTCCCGCAGAGCAGCTGGCGGATTTGAAGGGCCAACCTTTCTATTAGCAGCCAACCACTTTAATCACTGAGCTACCAGTGATCCTAGAGAGTTAACAGGACTAACTAATTCTTATAACAAAAATTACGATGATTACATTAATAAAACTAACAGATGCTACCAAGAAGAACAAAATTTCCTACCGTGAGCATTATGGGTTCACAGACTCTTTGCTTAAATTTCTCTCTGTTATTTCTTAGCCACAAAACAGCATCATATGTGTCACGGTACCTCTGTCTCAGCTTATCTTCCTTTTGATTCATAAGATTGTCAAAACGTTTAATAAGATCACATACACCTAAAATTGGAAAATAAAACAAAGCACTGTTTCTTCCAAAACCTTAGTGAATTAACCTATTAATAATACAAAAGAATATCCTAGATCTGAAGGTTACAAAGGCCACTCAGCAAGTATTCAGCATAATGAAAATAATCCACCTTGAACAAATCATTGTAAAACTTCCAAATGCCCAGGATATAAGAAAATCCTTAAGCTATTAGAAAGAAAAAATAAGTCACCTATAAAAGAAAGAAAAAAAATGCTAGATTTCCTATCAGAAAACAGCGGTGGTAGGCCTTCAAAATTCTGACAGAAAAATTTTCAACCTAGAATTATACATAAAACAAAATCAAGACTAAAAAGATAATGAAATAAAGATATTTTCAGATGCAAAGACTGAAATTAATTCCCTAATATCTCTTCATAAGAGGTTACCTGAAGATGTAATCTAATAAGATAAGGGAGGAATGTTAAAAAAAAAAAAAAAAAAAGGAAGACATGAGATGCAGGAATAGGTTTATCCAATACATGATGGGCATGGAGAATAATCTCAGATGACAGCCGTGCAGAAGGCCTAGAGAACAATTAGTTTAGATGGAAGGCTCCAGAACTCAAGACATGCCTCATTTTGTTTTGTTTTTTCCAATTTAAGAAAATGGTGTTAAAAAGGTCTATTAAAACCTTTAAAAAGCTCTCAGGAAATGTAATCATAATACACTACATAGCTATACTATGAACAAGTTTCATTGTTGGTAATAACATAAGCAATACTCAGTACTTCTAGATTCTAAAATTAACCCATAAACATAGCACATAAAACTTAATTATGGTTTTAAACTAATTTATAACAAAATTTAAATGTCTTCAGTGTTGAAAATATAAAAGCCAGAGAACAGAGGAGAAAATTTTGAATATGAAAAGGCAGGAAAATGAAATGGAAGGATGGGAGTGTCAATATTTTTAGTTTACAAAGTGTACTATATCAAGCAATACTGAAAATTGTATATAACCAAAAAAAGAGCCTATCACTTATAACAAATCAATATTAATAAATGTTAATGATTTACAATAATTACTATTAACATAATAATCTCATTTGAGGAATTAAAATATAGGGAAGAGAGGTGTTGTGAGCTAAAAATCTACATCTAGTGTAACTAAATATCAAAACACAATGTCTAAAATTGATAAACAATAGTGAAATAAGAATATAATATAAATATATGGAAGAACTATTGGCAAAAACTGCTAAAATAGTTAAAAGTGGTTACCCTTGAAAGTGAGTCTGGAAGTGGGAAAGGGGTTATCCTTCTGTTCTAGTGCCTTTTTTTTTTAACCATATCCATGTAGTACTTTGATAAACATATACAAATGGAGTTTTTGTTACAGATATTGTTTTTGTGTGTTGTTGATTCCAACTCATAGTGACGCTACAGGACAGAGAGAACTGTCCAATAGGGTTTCCTAGGCTGTAATATTTATGGGAGCAGATTGCCAGGTCTTTTCTCTCATGGAGCCACTGTGTGGGTTCGAGCCACTGACCTTTCGGTTAACAGCTAAGCCCTTAAGCAGTGTGCCACCAGGGCTCCTGTTACAGATTTTAGCTCTATATATTTAGCTTACAGAATATAAGGTCTCTTCTATCTGAATAATGCTATAGATCTATCCACCTGATTTATAGAAAAGAAAAGCAAAGATGAAATTGGACAGGTTTTGAGGAGGAAAACTTACGGAAGGCTATGACGAAGGCTAGAATAAAGAGCTTAAATCTGATCTGAGAAATAACAGTAAGTGATTGTGTAAGGAAAATAAAGCTAAGCATTTTAAGAGAATTAAATAAACTGCAGTAATCTGACATAAGACAGTGGTCAGCCAGTAGCAAATCACAGTACACAAAGGATCTGGGTAATAAAGGACTGGGCTGGAAGAATGAAGCAGAGCTTCTTCAACAAGGAGATGTGAACATTTTAAAGAAATGATATTAGAAGAAGAAGAATGCCCATCTGAGATATATCTCCATTTTATAAACATCTCTTCACCTTAAGTTTAATAAACTTACTCTTTTTCTCTTTCTCAAGAGTCTCCCTCTCTCTTCGTTTATCAATTATCTCGCTTTCACATAACGCCTTTTCATCTTGAACTCGTCTCAGATCATTTGTGATGGCATCAATCTGGGGCTGAAGATTTTCACAGTTTTCCGTGGTCTTTAGTTCATTCTGCAAATCCTCTATCATTTTGCGGGTATTACTTATTCTTCTCTGCCGGTCATGCTCTTCATTTTGTTTTACTATTAAAGCCTGCTGCAGTTCCTCAATCTAATAAAAACAAAAGTAGGTTAGTGCTTGAGATTGTTTTTTTTCCTCATTAATGCAGCTTTTGTAGTAGTATGTGTTGAAAATATATTTATATTTTTTAAAATGCAAATAACAGTCTAAGAACATGGGCGTTTTTCTCACTAAAGGTAACCAGCTAAAATTAGAATGCCACTCCTGCCAGACTTCCTGTATCTTTATTTGTTCACTAACTGACAAGTAAAGTTTCTTATGATATTGACATTCAGATGGAGGAAGAGAAAATAAAAGCTTGCTAAAATTTTTATCTTACTCAGGTAGAAGAATAAAAACACTGAATAACTCTTACATTTATTAGAAAAACGTGTTATTTAAACTTTAAGAGTAATCTCTACAAGAATAGGCCTAGAATATGTAACTTTCAACATATAGGAAAAAAAAAAACTGTGTAAGAAACCCCTGATCAACAGCAACAGAATGTAGAAAAGAAGAACAAGAAGAATCAAATAAAAAGCATAGTAAGTACAAAATTTAACAGTAAATGTGAGCTGGTTACACTCGTTTATTGATAGAAAAAGAGTCTCACACTGAACTAAAAAAAATTCAAAACAAAATCCACTATATATTATTTACAGCAGACAAAGTAAATCAAAAATGATGCAAAAAGAACAAAAACGAATGAAAATATTAATTTAAAAACTGCTATGGTAATAAACACATGGGGTTGTCATGAGTTAGACTTGACAGCAACTGGTTGGTTTGGTAATATAGTAAACAACAAAGCTTCAAAATCTAGGAAGCAAAAACTAATGTAACTACAGTCGTCCCTCAGTATCCGAGGGGTACCGGTTCTAGGACACCCCACAGATACCAAAATCCGAGGACGCTCAAGTCTCTTAAATAAAATGGCATAGTAATTGCATATAACCTACGCACATCCTCACGAATACTTTAAATCATCTCTAGATTACTTATAATATCTAATACAATGTAAATGCTATGTAAATAGTTGTTTCATCACAACTGAAGACTTGTTCTGGAAGGTAGCCTTTCTCTTCTATGAGTTTCTTGAGCTCTTCTGGGAACAATGACGCTGTCTGGACCTCAGATGATACTGATTTGCCGTGATCTTGAAGTTTTTGAGGCTGTAGGGCTTTACAAAGCTAGCCAGCCAGCCCTTACTAGCCTTAAACTCTTTCCTCTGCTCCGCTCAGCCCCCTCACAATTAGCCTGTGAGGGATTGCTTTGACAACTTTATTGTTTTTTAGGAGACATTTTTTCACAGATTCAAAGGATGCACACAACACAAGTAGCAAACTAAAGACAGTGAGGCGAATAATGTTCCAACAAGAGAGACTGAGGATGTGTGAAGTGGAGGGAGGCTACAGCAGGGGAAGCCTACACATCCCTTCATTTGCGTGGATTCAGTGTAGCGCTCAGGGTGTGGCAAATTCAAGTTTTGCTTTTGAAACTTATTTTTTTCTAATATTTTTGAGCAGTGGTTGGTTGAATCTGCAGAGGTAGAACCTGCAGGTATGGAGGCTGACTATGTAAGGAAAAACAGAAAAATGCACTCAAAGAAGATATAGACACTTTATTTTTAAAATGGATACATTAAGTAGGCAAAAAAACAAGGAAGAGAGCATTTAAAAACACCAAAGGAAGTCTCAAAAAATTCTTAAAAAAAAAAAATCATACAGGCCACATTTACTCACCAGAAAGTAATATAATTAGAGTTCTACATAAAAAGACAGCATAAAAAAATTCCATATACTTAGGAATTAAGACAATAATTGTAACTCCCAAACTCATTACCGTCGAGTCAATTCCAACTCACAGCAACCCTCCAGGACAGAGCAGAACCGTCCCATAGGGTTTCCAAGGAGCGGCTGGCTGGTGGATTCAAACTGCCAAGTGGTTAGCAGCTGAACTCTTAACCACCGGGCCACCAGAACTCCCATAACAGCATTTAAAGGTGATCATTTGACTATATCTCACATGTGTTGATATGTAGTGTTCTTTTTGTTTTTTCAGTTTAAGATTTTATAATTTTCATTTTAATGTTTTTATTCATTTAAGGTTATTTAGGAGTTGGAGCCCTGGTGGCGAAGTGGTTAATAGCTCGGCTGCTAACCAAAAGGTCAGCAGTTCAAATCCACCAGACACTCCTTGGAAATCTTATCGGGCAGTTCTACTCTGTCCTATAGGGTCGTTATGACTTTACTGCAATGGGTTTGGTTTTTCTAATACCTGTGGATGTCATCACATTTGGGAATAGGGTTTTGTTATGTTAATTAGGCCATTATTATTGTAAGGTGCATCTCAAACCTAATGACCTCTAAGATATAAAAAGAGCAGATTAGACACACAGAGAAGCAAGCACAAAGGGGTAAGATAGATGCCAGTTGGAGACTGACAAGGAAGAGTTCAATGCCAAGAAGAATGCTAGAGAAGCTGAGGATTTTCTCAGCAGACAGAGAGAGTCTTCCCCACAGATGGTGCCCTGAATGCAGACTTCTAGCCCTCTAAAGTATGAAAAATAAATTTCTGTTTCTTAGTTACCACTTGTGGTATTACTGTTACAGCAGCACTAGCAAACTAAGACAAAGGGATTTGTTAAAAATCAAGAAGGGCTAAAAATAAAAGAACTAACTTTTAATTCAAGACCTTTAAAACATTTTTTTAAAATACCCAAACAAAGCAGAAAAAAAAACAAAATTAAGAAAGATAAAAGCAGAAATTAATTAAATAGATAATAAAAATAGACAGGTTGATTAAAAACACGATTATTTGAAAAGACTATTTACTACAAGTGACAAATCTTGGCAAATACAAGCAAAAAAAAAGAAAATGGATATATAAACATAATTGATGAAAAGAGGAGAGTACAGACAGAAAAATGAGTTTAAAAATTGTAGATGAGTACTATAAACTTTGTAAAAATAAATTGGAAATCTAAATGAAACTGGTAATTTTTAGAGGAATAGATGTTAGCCAAATTGACGTAAGGACTATGCCCTGAAAACAAAACCAGTCAAGGATGGTACAAAAATAAAATTATAGGCCAATCTCACAAGGTGCAAAAATTCTAAATTAAAGACTCGCTACTTGAACCCAGGAATGTATTAAAATACAGTCATGTGCCACATAACCATCTGTTCAGGCAACATTTGACTGCATATATGTCTGTGGTCCCATAAGGTTATAGTAGAGTTCAGAAATTCTGATTGGTGAACAGGACATAGCAGACATAATTATATTATGTAGACAGTATTGTACAGTATTAACCTACTTAACCAATGTATTACCTTGCCAGACACATTAGCTGAAATACAGTACTGTATTGTGTACAGTATTGTGGCCATTTAGTCAATACAGGTACACTATAGTATCCATATAGCTTTGCTAATGGATACAAACAATGAGTATCTCAACGGATACATTCTCCAAGCCAGCCAATGATTGTGCTGGGTAAGGGGCTATTGCCGTGGGGACAGGCTGGCTGAAACAGGTTGTGATGATGAATTGTTAAAGAATCTGTCATTCATAAAAACGGAAAGGAATTTCCACTCTGGATAAGGCCCAGTGCAAACAAGCTGGAGGAACAGTGGGCTCAGTGGTGTTCACACAATATTCAAATCATATAACATCCCATTTCACAGAACATATAGTGGACATTAAGCGACACATGACTGTACCAAGTAAGATTCATGACAGAAATGCAAGGATGGTTCACATTAGGAAAACTATTAACCTGGTAACTTCTATTCAAGGTGGGTTTTTAAAGATGAATGTTTATGACTTTTCCCTCCTAAACCCTACAGGATAAAATAATACAAACGGAGTAAAAAGGGTTTAATTCCAGAAGGACAAAGGGATCAGCAAATAAGAGATTTTAATAAATATTCAGAAGATGAGAAATAGTAGAGGGAAAATTAATTAACTCACCTACAATAGGAATCATTCTAAAGGGTGAGTGAAAGAAAAAGGGACAAGAGAGTTGATTCTTTAAAACCCATAGAATCGTAAGATTAGCAAATGCCAAGTATAAAAGATATCACATAGAACAAAATCATCCTTATCCTACCTCCTACCCCAATTCCTTACATACATACATACACACACCCATACACTCACCCTTGAGCGCATAATACTGACAGCCAGCCAAGCTTCTGCCATAGAAATTTAAGGTTTATTCTCTGGAGAAATTAAATAAGAGAGGTTTGGGACCTGAAGATAAGGGCCAAGAAAAAGGGGCAAGGCTGGAAACTGGGAGATTAGGGTGATGCTGAACCACCAGGAATGCTTAAAATTATGTACGTACCCTTAAGGCAGGTAATTCAAAATTCAGTCTTTGAATGGACATGGAAAAAAGAACCCCACATATGTCTGAGGATCTGTTAACAAAAGAACTCACTTTCTTGCCCAAAAAACCCACTGCCATCCAGTAGATTCCGACTCATAGTGACCCTATAGGACAGGGCAGAACTGCACCACAGGATTTCTAAGGAGTGGTTGGTGGATTTGAACCACCAACCTTTTAGTTAGCTGCTGAGCTCTTAATCACTGTGCCACCTGGGCTCCATTCTCTTGCCCAATCATACTAAAATAAATTTGCCATCAAGCTCTACCCATGCACAAAGAATTCATAACCAGCTTTTAAGAGCCCTACTCTTAACCATAAGCAAACAACCAAAGACAAGGAAAAACTTCAAGAAGAAACAGAAACAAGGAAAAAAAGAAAAAACTAATTAGGAAAGAAAAAAAGATAAAAGAAAAACTTTTAATTTATATTCTCAAAGACATGAAAAGCATACATTAAAAAAAAAATAAAACAGGAGAGTATGAATTAGGAATAATCATAGAATAAGAAAATGCTCCTGGAAATGAACAAACATGATTGCTGAAAGTCAAAATTCAATTCAGAAGTTTAAAGATAAAGCTGAAGAAATATTAAAGGAAGCAGAACAAAAAACATGTTCTATTCATGAAATCTCCTTGACTATCTTTCTCCAAATATATACTTCCCTAGTTGATCTTTTCGAAAGGAGAGAAAAACGTACCCCCTCTTAAGTTTTAAACTTTGCTAAGTATAAACTGAAATTTAAAACAGGATTTTCCTTAGCAATAAATTATCTGAAATAAACTATCTTTATTTCTAGACATTATGCCTATAAATGAAGACTATTATCAGAACAGATTAAAACTCAACAATAAAAATGTAATCAAGATGAAAAGTTTTATAATTAAGTATACTCTGAATACTTCCAATCATGAAAAAAAGTACATATATATTTTCTACAGAAATGTCATCACCGATTTCTTGTAACGAAATGTTTACGTCTGTGTAGTAAAAACAGAATCAATCCCTTAGAATTTAATCTCTGCTATTAAGATAACCAAATCCAATTTTACCATCACCTTGTTAAAAATAAACTATAGCCGGCCAGGTATAAAGATCATAATGCGAATCTATAAATAGTTTTGAGAAAAATTTCCCAACTGTCCTCTATGCAACTATTCTACTTCCAAATCTTAGATTCCTTCACATATTAAGGTAAGAAATAGAGTGTGAGGAGGCTCTTGGACAAGTCCCACACAAGAATTTGTCCTACAATCCAGACCTGAAAACGAAAGTTACGGCAAATTATGTAATCAAAATTTCAATATAAAATCTTACATGTTTATCTTTCCTCTCTAAAACATCTTGCTTTTCTTTGCATTTCTGAGATTTCTCCTTAATACCTGTTGCCTGTAAAATTGAACCAGAAAGGAAAAAAGTTAAAAACTTAAGCCAATTATGTGGCCCTACCCACCTAAATACTAATTTATTATATGGGCTAAACCACCATAATGCTTTTCCATCCTTTCCTTCAAATCAAATTTATAATTATCATAAAAAACCCAAGTTATCTGCAAATCTGTAAAAAGTTATTCTCACCAATATTAAAAATAGCCACAGTATTATGCATGTGCTTCTTTATCTCTTCACATTTACTTTCACATTTTATTTAATCTGATCCTCAAAACAATCCTAAAGGAAAGTCGGCATAGCTATAATTCTGTCTTTCTATATATGAAGAAAACAAAGCGCACAGAAGTCTGTATACATAGCTAAAAATTGGTAGCACTAATACTCAAAATCAGATCTTATTTAAATCTAGGGTTTTTTCTACTTTACCAAGTATGCTATCTCTTTTGATATTTTTCATTAACACATGAAACATGTAAATCACACATTCTTAACACAAAAAAACATGTAATCCAAATGAACTGGCAAACAGGGCTAAGCAGAAAAGGATTACCGCAGGCCTAAGACTGCTATTCTTTTTCTAAGGTTGGCCCTTGGTTGTTGTCTGGCAACTTGGATTTTGGGAGTGTTCCCACCATCCCTAATTGATAAGTGTGGCTTACTGTGCCTAAACGTTTTGTACAAATAATGTGGCTTATGTTGAACACCTGCTTTCTCTCTTGGATTCTTTCTGTTGTATGTGCTAGGCAGTGTCTAGATGACTAGTTAGTCCCTATAAAACTCTTGAGGACTGAGTTTCTAATAAGCTTCCCTGGCAAACATTTCACACGTGTTGTCATGATGTGAGGAGGAGGAATTAAGCATATCCTGTGTTGACACCACTGGGAGAGGACTCTTGGAAGCTTGTGCGTGGTTTCCTCCAAATTCACCCCATGTGCCTTTTTCCTTTACTGATTTTGCTTTGTATCCTTTTGCTGTGATAAACCTTAGATAAGCGTACAACTATATACTGAGTTCTCCTAGAAAATCACTGAACCTGGGAGTGGTCTTGAGGACCCCTAACACCAAGGGCAAAGGGGAGTAGGAAGAGGGGCACAGGAGTTTCCCCTGTGGAGAGAAACTAATATTTACTGTGTGACTGATTGTAAGCTAACCACTATGCTCACTGTATACATGTGTTAAATCACACACATTAATCATATAAGATAAACATTACTATCCTCACCTTACTAATGAGGAGAGTGAGGCTCAGTGAGGGTAAATAACTTGAAGGTCAGGAAGTTAGTAAATGGCAGAATGGGGATTTAAAATATAGATCTGTGTGGATCCAAAGGCTATGCCCTTCCTACAACACTGTATCACCTCCCTGAAATGTTAAAAAAATTGTAAAGTGTTGAAAAAGGTTTTCTGTTGGAACAGAAGGAATAGGAACAAGAACAGTATGAAAACTAAACAAAATTAACAATTTTGTTCCTTGTTGCATGGCTATGAGTGTTAATAACTTTTTAAAAATATAGACTGATATAACGCACCACACTTCAAGATCACTTATTCAGGGAAACAATTCCAAAATATCTTAGGCTACGTAGATTTTCACATAAACAAATTAGGCTCATGGACATTTGACAATGCTTTAACAGCTAGGCTTCCATTATGAACGACAAGCAGGAAGGGGTTTTAAATATGATTTTTTAATTAAGAGAAATAATGAGATTTAAAATTTATTGTATACAATTTTCTGAGTGAGAAAGGTTGTATTCTGGAATATAAAGTCTATAGCAGGGAGTCAGCAGTTTTGACCACGGTACAATCACAAGGTCAAAAAAGGTAAGTTATAAAGGTAAGTTAGGAACAATACAGTAAATTCAGGGAAGTAAAAAAGCAATTACAAATCTAGCACTTAACTACAACCAGCCACTGTTAGCATAGCAGTAACTGACAACTATTAGCTCTATAACCTTGAGGAAGTCATGTCATCTTTGGGGTTGTTGTTGTTAGGTGCCATCAAATCGGTGTCAACTTATAGTGACCCTATAGGTCAGAGCAGAACTGCCCCATAGGGTTTCCAAGGAGCAGCTGATGGATTTGAACTGCCGACCTTTTGGCTAGCAGCCGAGCCCTTAACCACTATACCACCAGGGCTCTAAAAAACCATTGCTGTCAAGTCGATTCCGACTCATAGCAACCATAAAGGGCAGAGTAGAGCTGCATCCTCAAATACAATCATATAAAATGGAGAGGATTTGTCTAGATAATATCCACAATCCCTTCCTGATCTAAAATTTAAGATGACCAATAGTAATTGTTTCTTAAAATCAGATCAAATCAAATCCTAAAATTCTTATCTGTTCTTCATAACTATCTAATCTACTAGACTTGGGCATAATAATTCTAATTTACTTTAAATCTCTATTACAATTAAGGAGCCCTTCTGATGTGATTGTACCAAGGTCAAAATTACTGACTCCCTGTTATAGACTTTATATTCCAAGACATGACCTTTCTCACTCAAGTAAGCACTGTTCATCATGCATACTAAACAAATACCTGATACTATCGAGCTCAAAAAATGATTTTTTTGATCTACAGGCTGCCTAAAAAGAAAAACTACAATCATATCCCTAGATAAAACAGCTTCACATAACCGTTTGAAAAAAAAAAAAAAAAAAAAACCTAAAAATTTTTGTTAATCAAAACTTGAATACTGAATGGTTCTTTACTAACTGACATCTTAAAATCCGTAGCAAAGAACCTGGAGTAGCATGTTCACACTATACCAGAATACAATTTTAAAAATAAAGAGAAGATAATTAAAATAAGAAGACTGCAAAGTTTAGTTGTTTCTCTTCCATAGTTTAGAAAATCTGGATGTAAAAGATTGTATATAAAAAAATACACTATCTACTAAATGACCTTTGAATAGTGGAAATTATGTTTACACAATTTTTTTTCAATAGACTTACCAGGCTAAAATCCTCCTTTTATGATCAATGAAAGCCACCTTCAAACAGTGGCCAACACCAGGGGTACATAACCAAACATGTTGAAATGGTTTTCTGGTTTCCTAAAACTAACCTTCACACAGAGTAAACTCCAATGGTCTCGTTAATGAAAGTACTCTACTTATTTGAGCTAACCAATCAATTTCTGTAAGAGGTTCTTAAACAGGGGTCATGGATGTGACTTTAGCATGTCTGCAAATCCCCAAAATCTCAAATTTTGGATTTGCCTATATTATTATTCTGGAAGCAGGGTCCATAGTTCAAATCAGTCTCAAAATAATCTCTGATCCCAAAATCTCCCTAAAGGTTAAAAGCCACCATGTAAATTTTAAAGTTGTAATTTCAAATACAGGGAACATTCTACTATATTATTTATTCTAAAAAAATCTGATTTTCTATATCACCTTCCTCCAAAAGGGTGTGTAATTACAAAGCAGATACAATAAATCCACAAAATGTTTCTAGCAATATCATTATGAATCTTCTTGTCATTAAAACAATCACATTTCATTTTTGTCTTTTTATATCTCGGAATATCTATAAAGTAGCAATTTTCCAACACTGGTAATCAGAACCTTGAAACCCCTATGGTGGTATAATTCCCGGCTAAACGAACTTAAGGAACCAAAGCTATGAGTAAAACTGCAAAATATTTTGAAAGACCCGCAAATATAGCTAAGACAAAATACACATAATATAAAATTGAGTAGGAGAAGTACCTTTTCTTTGATTCGGGCTTCCAAATTGTGATGCTGTCTTTCAATTTCTTCAATTCGACGTGTTATAGGAATCTGCCCTTCTTTAAGTTTTCTGACCTCTTCTTTCACTTGGTCACGAGCTTGTTTTACTTCTTCATATTCTTGACGAACATTTTCATATTCCTGAAAATAATTAAAGAAAGAGAACTTACTGTGCTATTAGCCTAAACTAACCCACACATTAAAATCAAGGTACAGTCACAAACAAAATCAAAGAAAAGACTTTTAATGTCCCTTTTCATATGCCCTCTGAAATAACCTCAGAAATAGTAAATACCAATAAAATGATTTAGTAAGAGTCTTAATAATTACTGAGCATTTAACTTAACAGACTCTCACTTCCATCCTCTTCCCTTTCTGAAATGCACACCTGAATGATTTTTAAAATTATTTTCTTCTAACCTCTCAGTAAAGAAGGGGTACAGGAATGCATAAAGAAGCAAAAAGAAAAAAAGAAAAGACAAAACCATAGCTCTGAAAAATAAAAATGCAAACAAAAAAGTACAAAAAAGGAGAATAAGTCAAAAAAAAAAAACAAAAAAACAAAAAGAAGCATGCAGCTTGTGCGATGAAAATAATACTTGTTATATCACAAGAATTAAAAAGAAAAAAATGAAAAAAGATTGAAGACAATCTCATAAAGAAAAGGGGAAACCAAAACACTTCAAAAGACAAAGTAGGTGAAAGAGTAATAATGGACATAGAAAGAATAAAAAACACAATCAAAAAAAGCCAAAAAAATTTCAAGAATAATGGAATTATGAGAGGGGAAAAGGGAGGAGAGAAGACTACAGAGTCACGTAGATTTTTCCAATCTAATAATAATGATTTCCATTCTAACCCTGGAACAAAAGTTATACAATTTTCTTATCTATTTTGTTCTACCCGTTATAAAGCAATGTATTGAGGAATTGAATCTTTAGCTTCAAACTGTGGTCTTAAATAATAAAACACACATCACACAGTGATGAGAAAGTAAACAGTAGCCTCAGTAAATTTAAGCAACACATGTAGTGTAAGACTGTAGCTAAGACACTTCAGCTATCAGTAGCCGAAGTTGCTATTACTGGCATACCCCAAATAAATTCTCAATGATCTGACTAAGGACACTCAAAGATTTAATTTTATATCTGTAAACATTTTTAAATCATTAACATTTAAAAAAAAAAAACAAAGAATTACATGTTGGGGACTAAAATCTGGAAGAATTAAGATTACTGACTTAATTATTATTTGCTATAAAATAACACAGCACACAGCTATATACTAAAACAGGGTAAAAGACAGATAAATTCTATTACATATGATGGATAAAAGGAGCACCAGCGGCGTAATGGTTAGTTAAGTGCTCAGCTGCTAACAGAAAGGGCAGCGGTTCGAATCCACTGGCTGCTCCGTCAGAGAAAAGATCTGACAATCTGCTTCCGTAAAAACTTCAGCCTAGGAAACACTACCAGGCAGTTCTACTCTGTCCTACAGGGTTGCTGTAAGTCAGAATCAACTGGATGCCACCCTCAAAAAAAAGGATGAAGCATAAAGCAAAAACAAACAAAAGCACCTAATTTGAATACATAGTAATTAGTGCATTCTTTACAAGTATTCTTCTACTTAAAGGATCATCTATTTTTGCTTTAGTTTTTGTCTGTAATAATTAGGACTCACCACCCATGGCCTTTTTGCTTCAAGCATCTCAATTAAATCTAAATGTCGCTTACGTTCATAGAATCTCTCCACATCTTGCTTATATCGTTCATTCCTTTGAATCATTTTCTCTAGATACTCAGTTTTCTCTTTGCATGAGGTCTAAATAAATATTTGTTGAACAGTTAATTTAACTGAAAAAAGACAAAGGTCCAATCTTTTAACAATTAAAAATATACAGTGCTAACAGAATCTCACAATAAAGAATTCCATACAAGTTCTTAAGAACTGTGCAGATGTGACATGATTTCTTAGTTATGTAGTGCTGCTATAACAGAAACAGCACAAGGGGATAGCACAGAGGTTAGAATTTACAACACATATTTTTAAGGCATATAATTAAATCCATAACATTCCACCCACTGGCCCCCAAAAATTTATGTCCTTGCCACATACAAAACACATTCACCCTATCACATCATCCCAAAAGTCTTAAATCAACTCCAAGTCCAAAATCTAATCTTCTGAATCATCCAAATCAAATATGGGTAAGACTTTACGGGTATTCCATCCTGGGGCAAAATTCCTCTTCATCTGTGAACCTGTGAAATCTAAACTACAAGTTATCTGTTTCCAAAGTACAATGGTGGAACAGGCACAAGGTAGACATTTCCATTACAAACGAGAGAAACTGGAGGGAAAGAAAGGATAACAGGCACCAAGCAAATCCAAAACCCAGCAGAGTAAATTACATTAGCTCTCAAGGTTTGAAAATAATCCTCTGTTCTCTGAGACCATCTGGGCAATGGCCCCGCCCTCCAGACTGTGGGTGTTGGCCACGCCCTCTGGATTCTGGGTGGAGGCTCCTTGGCCCTGGGCTTCAGCTCTGCCTTCCAGGCACTCTGGAATGGCAACTCTACTTTCATGGCTAATTTAGGCAGCCCCATTCCCCTGGCACACCTTAATGACAGCCCCACATTCCGGAATCCAGCTCTTTGAAACCCACGCTCCTTCCAGTAGTTCTGTTGATCTCTGAGCTGCCCCAGGGTTGATCTTTTTCTTTTCTTGGAGGACTACAGATGTAGCTCCTTTAGCCTGTTTCCTGCCTATAGAATTCCAAGAGGTAGGCAGCGTTCTTTCCTTTCGTTCTTTCTCTGTCCCCTTCAGTCTGAGCTGATGGGTTTTCTGCTGTTGTAGTTGGTTAGATCCATCAGTTACAGTCTTAATCTCTTTAATAAAAGATTGTGTAGCCACATCCTTGGTGAACATTCTAGGACATTTGTCCTTAGTTTGTATAATACAACAGAATTTTCCAAATCTTTAAGTTCTGTTTTCATTTTACAGTTCATTTTTAAGTCCATCTGTTCCCTCTCACATTTTACTACAAGTGGCAAGGAGAAACCACACAGCCCATTTAAGATCTTGCTTAGAAATCTCATCAGCCAGATATCCAAGTTCATCACTTACAAGTTCTACTTTCACCAAATATTTGAACGCATTTCAGACAAGTTCTTTGCCACTGCATAAAAAGCATCATCTTTCTCCATTGTCCAATCACATGTTCATCATTTTATTTTGAAGTCTCACTAGAAGCACATTTAATGTCCACATTTCTAGCAACATTCTATTGCTTATACCACATGTATTCTCTAAGATGATACTTTCTCTGTAGCTCTCTTTACTTCCTTCTGAGCCCTCACTAGAATTGTCTTTAAGGCTTATAATTCTACCAACAGTCTCTTCAAGGCAATCTAGGCATAACTATCAGGCACCTTAAAACTCTTCCAGCCTCTATACATTACCCAATTCAAAACCGCTTCCATATTTTAGGTATCTGTTAGAGTAGCACTCCACTCTTCCGATACCAAAATTCTTAGTTATCTGGTGCTATTAGAAGAGAAATACAAGCGGATAGCTTTAACAAACAGAAATGTATTTTCCCACAGTTTAGGAGGCTAGAAGTCCAAATTCAGAGTGCCAGCTCTAGGGGAAGTCTTTCTCTCTCTGTCAGCTCTGGAGGAAGGTCCTTGCCTCTTTAGCTTCTGCTTCTTGGTTCCTTGGAGATCTCCACGTGTCTTGGCATCTATCTTACCCTATCCTTGCTCTGCTCACTTGTTTAATGTCTTTTATATTTGAAAAAAGATTGACTCAAGATACACCCTACCCTAATCCTGCCTCATTAACATAACAACAACAACCCATTCCCAAATCATTATAACCATAGGCATAGAGGTTAGAATTTGCAACACACATTTTTGGAGGACATAGTTCATAATATATGCACACCTGAGTTCTGGTCTAGGCTTTGCAATTTATTAGTCATGTGACTGTGGGGAAGCCCTGCAGATCTGTGAGCCTGGACTCTTCTTGCCTAAAGAGAAGAGAGACATCTGCCCCACCCCCGTCAAGGGTCGAAGCAATTCACTGAATATAAACGATAGCTCAACAAAAACTGTAAAATGACATACAAATGAAAAGTAGCATTATTGTGATTAATATATACTATATAAATGAGCCAAAGATGGTCTCTGTGTATTAGTCCTAAGGTGAGGCCTATTAGTTCAAAAAAGCCTGCTGGAGCCAAACCCAAATTTGTATACATCTAATTGTTTTTAAAACAGCCCAAATAAGCAGATTTTCAGCCACTTAGAGCCTGCCTACTTTACATACAAGAAACTGCACCTAATATCTGCTAGCCCTAGATAAAACCCTATAATACAAGAACCCCCAGCTGTGCCTATCTTTCGGAGTTCTTTGACTCAGAGGCTCCCACCTTGCTGCAGGACACAGAGAAGGCACATGTAAACCCCATCATTCCCTTCTCCTCTTCCCAGAGGTTTTCATGCTCTCTTTTGGTGGTTCCCTGGGTCACCTGCCTCAGAAAGACCCCATTCTGTGAGGAACTATCACCTGCATTCCACTAACATTCCACCATGCTTCAGCCCTGATAAATAGCTTGTTGTGCAAGGCTGCTATCTTGTGGTCCTATCTTTTTCCTCAATCAGCCCCAAAATCTCTGGAACTCACTACAATATGTTATGTACACTAAGGACTTAGGACTTAGAAATGAGATGAAAAATAGCTAAAATTCAAGCTTTATATTGCAAATTAACAAAGATATACTTGGAGCTAGGATATGTGCTTGTTTTTTTTTTTTCAGAGGATGGTGGGCAGTTTACGTGACTGTTTCAGACAGAAATATTAGGTTGTTTACGGGTAATGGGACTGAAAGGAGCCCTGGTGGCACAACTGTTAAGCACTTGGCTGCTAACCAAGAGGTTTTCTCCTAGCAGCTTTGTGGGAAAAAGACATGGTGATCTGCTTCCCTAAAGATTACAGCCTAGGAAACCCTATGGGGCAGGTCTACTCTTGTCACCAGGAGTAGGAATAGACTCGACAACACCTAACAACAACAACAGACAGGACTGAAGGAGTATCTGAAGCAGTATAAAATCATTATAAAAAGCTCAGAACAACTCCTTTGGTCATTCACTTTGAATAAGTATAATAAAAATGACATTTAATGATAAATTACATATTATTAAGAATAGACAGTTACTTTAAGAGGAAGCATTTATTTATAAAATTTTTTATTATGAAAATTTACTGAATTTATTTCATTTGTTGGGACATGGAAAAAGGCCCACTACATTAAAAAAAAACTTTTCAGATGGTATGCACCAAAGGGCATTTTTATTTATATGTTTATTAAAGGTGAAAATAAAAATTTGACACTGAAACTGGATGTATGTAATTTTCTTACCCCTATGCAACTGAAAAAATATGTGACAGCTGGTTCTCTAGAGGTGCTGCATAAAAAGCTGCATGATTTCTGCTTTATTACTCATCACCTTACATGGAGCCTGGCACATGGCAGGTGTTTAATAAATATTGAATGACAGAATAATACTGCAACTTCCTGACAGAAAAAAAGGGGTTTTATAATACTGTTATTAGTTCCTTAGAAATTTAATTAATAACATGCATTTGTTGAAATGAGTGTCAAATTTTCCAAACTTTATCAAATCCATTCTCAATTTTTGTCAATTATTTTAATTAATGTTAGCAATATAATCCTAGATGGGAAAAAAAAAAATCACAAAAATATAAAATGACTCAATTATGCAGAACAACTATTCACTCTTAATTTCCAGACTTAGAGGGATGATTAATGATAGGCATCTATTTATAAATACCTCTAGTTGTTTTTCTTTCTCCCTGAAGTTTTTGAGTTCACAGTGATACCTATGCATTTCTGGAGGACCAATTGACTTCTCAGTAGCTTCAAGGAGTTCAATTTTGGTGAGTTTGGCAAATTCTCCAACTTTGTCCTAGAGCACAAAAATGAAATATCAGCCACTATTATCATTTATGGAGCCCTGGTGGTGCAGAGGCTAGAAGTTCCGCTGCTAACCAAAAGGTTGACAGTTCAAATCCACCAGCTGCTCCTTGGAAACCTTATGGGGCAGTTCTACTCCATCCTATAGGGTTGCTATGAATTGAAATTGACTGGATGGCAATGGGTATACTGTTTATTAAATTTCTTCAAAATATATGTCAATTAATGATTACATCTCTTAAGGTGGAACTTGTTTAAATAAAACTTACGTTAATAGGTAAATCTTAATATAAACCTTGGACTTACTGTATTATTCTTTAAAATAATAAAGACAACCTTAAGGTATGAATTACCATCTTTTTTAGATCTTTTAAAAGATTTTCTATGCCAGTATTTCCAGGTCGAAATGTTTATATACATACAGTAAATTGTTTTTGGAAAAGGAGAAACAGTTCCTTGGATTGAAATGACCATTAAAAAAAATCTGCCATTTATCACATCAGTTAGAATGTTAAAAAAAAAGATGCAATATTAAGCATCTACATAGAAACTGACATCAACTGATAAATGCTAAATGTCTTCAAATTTTATTTAATTTGGATATATATAATTAAATAATCATTACGTTTCTGAAGAAAAAAATAAGTGACAAATCAGTAACTGGACAGCATTGAATGACAAATTTAAAAGTTATTTGACTTTAAAATGTAATGTGCATTATCACTATTTTTTATTTTTACTAAACTTAAAGTATGATTTTAGATGGCACACCTATTATTAACAAAACCTCAAGAGCCTACAAATGGAAGTATAACTCTTTGTACTTAAAAATACAACTACATGCAGTCCCTAGGTTATGAGCGAGATCTGTTCCTAAGTACGTCTTTAAGTCGAATTTGTAGGTAAGTCAGGACAAGTATATAGAGTTCTTATTTCCAAAAAATCCAAACCCATTGCCGTCAAGTCGATTCCGACTCATAGTGACCCTGAAGGACAGAGGAGAACTGCCCCACAGGGTTTCCAAGGAGCACCTGGTGGATTCGAACTGCCGACCTTTTGGTTAGCAGTTGAACTCTTTAACCACTACACCACCAGAGTTTGTCTCAGTATATGGTACATATACCTTTCTATGCATACAGAACATTTAAGAAACACTTCCAAATTATGCAATGTTTCCACGAGCATCACAAAGTAGTGCTTGCATTCGTTATTCCAAACCATCATATTTAACTCAAATTTTTAATACAATAGGCTTTATGGTAGTCCACTCTTAAGTATGAGTTGTCCATAAGCTGGATGTTGGTAACCTGGAGACTACCTGTATATTTCTTTTAAAATGCTCTATAATTTAGGCTTTATTAACTGAAATTTGCCAAATTACTACAAATTACTAAAATACTGTAAGTGATGAGATGCTACAGTTAACAAAGAACTGTTAGTAAGTATTAAGAGTGCTATGTTCAATTTAAATAGTAGCCATTACAGTATCCTTTTAAAAAGTATTTACATTCCTATTTGGCATAAAGAGAAAACATTATACGCAAAGTTTTCAAAGTTACATTACTTCTCTCATACCTGAGGTAGAAACTGGCAAAGATTGCCCACTTGAATATTTAAGGCTGCAACCTGCTCTTCCACTACTTTCTGGGTTGTAGATTTTTTGTTGATGTACCAAAAGGACTGATTTTTTGCCACATCAATCTCACGAGTGATGACAAGATTTCCAGAGGCCCTGAACCTAGTTAAAAAATAATTTAATATACTCAAAATACACACGTTATTTAAAAAATAAAACTTTCAAAATCCTCTTGCACCAAAGGTTGCCAGACAGGATTATTATCATAATATTTATAACTTCTGGTATTTTGGCCCCTCTAAAGAAGCCTTGGCATTTTATTAGAATAATACATAATAATACATAATACATCTAAGTTACTACTTACTCAACATTCAAAATTATTTAAACCGTTAAATAAAATTAAAGCAAATGCCAATGCTAATTCCCAAAAATTGCCAGAGGATCTGCGTATCTGGAGTTTCTGTTCCTTTAATCATTATGCTATTCTTCAGTCACATGAACTGACTACAATTGAAAATGGGGCAATACGTTAAAGCGAACAACAGTTTAACCTTGATACTCTCCCTACTTGAAAAACGTATGAATGAAAACTGACTCTTGGATAAACATTTCCAAAACTATTCTGTCCGTTTAGGTGGCCACGGCTTCAACATATTCTCCACTCTGAATGTAGGGGGGACTACATCACATGGTCATAAAGAAACATTAAGCAACACAGAATCTGAAAGAAGGCTATTTACTTATTTCCTGCTTTTAGAAGTACTACTGCTCCACACTTCCCATCTATTCATCCATCTTTTTCACTGGGAAATCAGCAGCATGTGGTAGAAACATAAATTATTGGTATCCAATGGCTAAATGACAATGATAATTTGTAAACGTTGTATATCCAGATTATACTGTAATCATAACATTTCAAAACCTGTTTCCACCAAGTCGAGTTTGACTCATAGCAACCCTATAGGACAGACTAGAACTGCCCCATAGGGTTTCCAAGGAGCGGTAAGTGAATTTGAACTGCTGACCTTTTGATTAGCAGCCGAGCTCTTCTTAACCACTGCACCATATATATATATCAAATATCTTTGTTTTCTTCCCTCCTTTATCCCTTTACTTATTATGAAATATAAGATGTAAATGGATCTAGTGTGTTTTCCGTAGTACGCACGTTAGTTATGTCAGGCACAAGTATGACTTTATAATTGTCTTTATTTAGAGATTATGTATGATTTAATGAGATGTGTACAAGTGCCAAGCTGAAAAGGGATGGACTGTGATGGTTAACATTATATATGAACTTGGCTAGGCCAGGATTCTCAGTGGTATGGCAGATATTGTATAATCACCCTCCGTTTTGTGATCCGATGTGAGCAGCCAATCAGTTGCAAGGGGTGTTTCCTTGGGGGTGTGGCATGCATGTAATATATATGCATGCTCTGGCAAAGCTCACTCTCTCTCTCAATCCTGCACTCATCCTGTGGTCTGACCTCCAGTGCTTAGAGAATCCTTCAGCCAGCAGCCTGAACTGCAGATTTGGATTTGCCAGCTCCTGCAACCCTGTGAGCCAGCAGCCTGCCACCTGACCTGCAGATTTTGGGTTTATCAGCCCCTGCAACCACTGAGTCAGGAGAAGTCTCCAACCTGATGCCTGATCCACGGATTTGGGACTTGCCAGTCTCCACAATTGCATGAGCCGTTTCCTTGAAATAAATGTCTCTATACATACTTATACATATGCTTCATGAAACACTAAGAAAGTTTCAAAAAGAATTAGTAAAGACAAGAAATAGAACAGAAACCAGTAAGAAACAATGCAAAAGTTACCATGTTTTTATGCAAATAATGCATGCCTTCTATGTTCTTCTGCCAACTGTACACCCTCAACAAGGTATTTTCGTAAGCGCTGCTATGCCAATTTGTTTTTTACATGTTGCTGTAAAATAATTAGTAAAGCACACTTATGAAAATATCTTGTGGCGGAGGGCATGGTTGGCAAACAAAGAAGGCGCATGTTATTTGCATAAAAAATAATAGTTTACTGAAAAGGTTAACAAAATCGACAACTCCAATTTTCCTAATCAAGGAAAAAAGGGAGGGCTTAAATGAAAAAGGGAGACGTAGCTACAAATGACACAAACATATGTAAGAGAATTTATACATGCCAGCAAAATTAAAAAGGAAAATAAAATAATTCTTAGAGCAAAGTATAAATTATCACAATGATTCAAGAAGATATGGAAAACCTAAATCATCCTATTACCATTAAAAAAACTAAATCAGTAGTATTTAAAAAAAAAAAAAAAGAATAGAAACAGAAAACAAAAAACTCCAGGCTCAGATGATTTTACCAATAAGTTCTATAAAACAGTGAAACAACAAATATTGTTCACAAACAATTCCAGGGTAGAGAAAAAACAAAACTCTCTCACTCACTATATTAAGCAAGTTTAACTCTGATACTAAAACCTGACAATAGCTCTAGGAAAGAAAATTTCAAGACAATCTTACCCTTGAATATAGATGTTAAATTCCTAAATAAAATATTAGAAAACTAGAACCAGCTTTAAGAAAATTATGATCGTATTGGGTTTATTTTAAGCAAAGTTGGTTGAACTTGAGACAATCTAATTCATCAACTAAATCAATACGATTAACTCAATAGATGTTGAAAATTCATAAGCTATTTTTGATAAAAAGTACACCAAAGTAGGAATGGAAGAGAATATTCCTAACCAAATAAAGGCTATTTTTCAAAATCCTCCAACAAATATCTCATTTCATTCCAGCCACACTGGCACTCTTCTGTTTCACAGAAACATCAAGCTTATTCCCATCTTATATCCACTGCACAAACTGCTCGCTCTCCCTGGAATACTCTTACTCCCAGAACTTATTCTTATGGCTGGCTCCTTTTTATCATTCAGTTCTCAGCTCAAAACAGCTTCAACATGCCTTCCCTGAACTCACTTAATGGAAATAAATAAAAACATCACAAGCCCAAAACCATGTTAAGGTCAATGATGTTAAGGTCAACATTGCTAAATCTGAGATCTTTGCCCTCATTTTACCTGACCTACTTAACAGCGTATCAGATAAATATACATAAATATATATATTGGAGCCATGGCGGTGCAATGGTTAAGAGCTTGGCTGCTAACCAAAAGGTCAACAGTTCGAATTTACCAGCCGCTCCTTGGAAACCCTATCGGGTAGTTCTACTCTGTCCTCTAGGGTTCCTATGAGTCGAAATTGACTCGACAGCAATGGGTTTGTTTGTTCTTTTTAATATAGCAGCATCAGACATAGGTGATCATTTCCTCTTCCTCAAAACATTTTCTTTACTTGGTTTCCAGGTATTATACTCTTCTGACTCACCAGCAAATTCTTCTCGTCTCCTTTTATAGTTTTTTCTATGCTCAACCTATGGATACTGCAGTGCAACAAGGGTTAGTTCTTTGACCTCTTCTTTCCTTTATCTATATACCTCTTCCCTTACTGACTTCATCCATCTAAAAATACTGATAGCTCCCCTCACGTATTATCTTTGGCCCAGACTTCTCCCTGAACCACAGGTTTATATATCTAACTGTCCATTCAACATTTCTTACCTGAATGTTTAATAGGCATCCCAAACTTTACTACATGTTTTATTGATTCTGGAAAGCCCTTGTTGTTTTACATCCTAACATTTCTGAAACTGAGGTGTGTATACCAACATTATGTAGCATAGTTTTAATTGGAAGGTGCATCTTACTTAAAAGTGATGGCGTCATAGATTTAATGAAATATGATTTACTCCAAAATAAACTTCTGATCTTTCTCCCAAAATTTCCTGCAGTAGGTTTCTCTACCTCAGTTAATGGAAACTCCATTTTTCCCATTATACATACTGACACCTTGGAGTTCTCCTTGATGCCTCTCTCTCCATCCCACATCTGACCCTGTGAGCTCTTACCTTCAAATTACATCCAGAATCTGACCACTTTCTACCACTTCCACTGCTACTATTATCTTGGTCCAAGCCACCTTCATCTCTCATCTGGATTATTATATTAGTCTCTTAACTGATCTCTTTGCTTTTGTCTTCGCCCTCCTACAGTCTATTCTCCCCACAGCAACCAAATGTTCTGGCTAAAATTTAAGTCAGATCACATCATTCCGCTGCTCAAAACCTGATGGCTTCACATCTTATCCGAAATAGAAGCCAAGTCCTTACATTGGTCTACAAGGCTTTATGAGATGGCTTCCTGATACCTTTGGACCCTATCTTCTACTATCCTCTACTTCTTTCAGTGTGATCCAATCACAATGACTACTACTTCAGGGCATTAGCATTTGCAGATTCTCTGAAATGCTCTTCCCCCAAATATTTCCATGTCACTCCCCTACCTCCTTCAAGTCTTTGCTCAAATGCCTCCTTCTCAGTGGCACCTTTCCTGATCAGCCTATTTAAAACTGTAAACCCCATTCTGACACTCCCTATTCTCCCTTCCTGCATTATTTTTCTACACAGTACTTATCACTACCTAACATCACATATATTTTATTTATCCACTGTCCCCTCTCATGCCTCTAAATATAAACTCCATGAGGACAGTGTTGTATCCCCAAAGTATAGGCACTGTCTTAGTCATCTGGTGCTGCTATAACAGAAATACCACAAGTGGATGGCTTTAACAAAGAGAAATCTATTCTCTCACAGTCTGGTAGGCTACAAGTCCAAATGCAGGGCACCAGCTCCAGGGGAAGGCCCTCTCTCTCTGTCAGCTCCAGAGGAAGGTCCTTGTCATCAGTCTTCCCTTGGTCTGGGAGCATCTCAGCGCAGGAACCTCAGGTCCAAAGGATGCGCTCTGCTCCCTGTGCTGCTTTCCTGGTGGTACGAAGTCCCGTCTCTCTCTGCTTGCTTCTCTCTTTCATATCTCAAAAGATACTGGCTTAAGACACTATCTAATCTTGTAGATTTCATCAACATAACTGCCATTAATCCATCTTATTACATCATAGTGATAGAACATACAATACATAGGGAAATCACATCAGATGACTAAAGGTAGAAAATCATACAATACTGGGAATCATGACCTAGCCAAGCAGACAGGTATTTTGGGGGGACACAATTCAATCTGTGACAGCCACTCATAGTATTTGATAAATGACTCCACAAATGTAAGTCACAGATTATTTTACCCACCATTCCACTCACTGAGCGTGTGGTTAGGTACTGCATTTGTTCAATAACAGTAACAATTTCAAAAACTAATGCTAAGCTGTTTTGTGTTCCGTACTCTCAAGGCTATATGCACCGTAATGCAACAAGTGGCTACAATGTAACCATATATAATTTGGAGGAAAGGAAACTTCCTCCTGTGCCAGACTTGGTAAGGCAGAGTTCTGGTTAATGGTCACTGGTTAGTTGATTAGAGCTAGCAGCTACTACACACCAAGAAGTTTACTTCTTTACATGAAAGAAAACTGGGTCTTGATGGCTGAGAAGAGAAAGTCAGGAAAGCTTAAGATCTATGGTCATCCATACTGGCCTTTTGAAACTTAATGGTAATACTCCCTCTGTATTCTATAAATACAGCTGGCTTAGTAAATTTCAGTTTCAACATTACAAAACTGATGATCAATCAACAGTACAGGCTAACGCAGGAGTGTATTTGGCATATATTTTTTTAATTCCCCTACTAACCCATTAGCTACTCCACGGGAGAAAGATGTGGCAGTCTGCCTCCTTAAAGGTTACAGCCTTGGAAACCCTATGGGACAGTTCTACTCTGTCCTAAAGGGTTGCTATGAGTGGAATCTACTCGACAGCAATGGTTTTTTTTTTTTACTATAAAATTCACTGTTTTAAAGTGTACAATTCAATGTTCTTTAGTACAGTCACAAGGTTGTACAGCCATCACCACTATCTAATTTCAGAATTTCTATCACTCCAAAAAGAAATCCCATACCCGTTAGCAGCCACTCCCCATTCCGTCTTCCTCTCAAATCCTGGCAACCACTCATCTACTGTCTCCATGGCTCTGCCTATTATGGACATTTCTTATAAATGGAATTATACACTATGAGGCTTTTGTGTCTGGCTTCTTTCACTAACCGTAAGATTTACAACGTTCATCCATGTTATAGCACATATCAGTATTTCATTCCTTTTTATGGCTGATTAGTATGTCATTGAATGGATATACCATATTTTGCTTATCCATTCATCAGCTGATGGACATTTGGGTTGTTTCTATTTTTTGCTATTATGGATAATGCTGCTATGTAACATTCACGTACAAGTTATTGTATGAAAATGTTTTCATTTGAGTATAGGCTTAAAAGTTGAATTGCTGGATCGTATAGGAACTCTGTTTAACTTTCTGAGGAACTGCCAAACTGTTTTCCAAAGTGGCTGTTACCATTTTACATTCCTACCACCAATGTAAGACTGTTCCAATTTCTCTACATCCTAGCCAACACTTGTTATTATTGTCTTGTTCCTGACCTCAGGGGAAAAAAGTTTGTCTTTCATCACTAAGTATCATGTTAGCTGTACGTTTTTCATAGATGCCCTTTATCAAATTCAGGAAGTTTCCTTCTATTCCTAGATTTTTGAGTGTTACGATCATTAAAGGCTGTTGAATTTTGTTGAATACATGTCTGTTGAGAGAATTTGGCAATTACTTTTATAAGTCAATTCTATGGCAAATACTTAACCACTGTGCCACTTTCATGAACAGTGTACAACAGTGCGCAACCCACTTTCTGTATCTTCACAATACTGAATATTATTTAAAAAATTTTCCAAGCTGAGAGAAAAAAAATTCTCATTATCTTGATTTCTTTGATAGTTAGAGAGGAATAATCTCTTTTTATACTTATTGGCCAATTATTTTATATCTGTGAATTACTCATTCAATTTCTTTTTTTCCCCCCCCATCCCTGAAGTATGTGGAATGGGCACAGTCAGGTCATGTTAACAGTAATGTAATCCAGGGCAGTTTACTAAGAAGACAGAGGGTTCATCCTGGTCAGTTACAATCCTACAAAACTAAAACTTTAGACACCAAGTGATCTGTGTATAATATAAAACTTCATTTCAGAAAGTTACAAAATAATAAAGACCAAAATATGGGTACAAGTTCAGAGGGGAAGGGGAAGGACTGGTCAGGGTCTTCTGTACTGGGAGAAATTAACTTGCATGGCCATGCTTTGCCTTCAGTCTTTTTTTTTTCTTAACATTTTATTGTACTTTAGGTGAAAGTCTACATTGTAAATTAGTGTTCCAATCAACGATCGTTACATAAATTATTCCGTGACAATGGTTGCAGTCTCCACAATGTGTTCACCCTCTCCCCATTTCCTACCTGGCTTCCTCGTTTCCATTAGTCCAGTTTCCTACTGATTCAATTTCTTTGCTCATTTTTCTATTAAGTCATTTATATTTTTACTGATTTGTGTGAGTCATTATACAAATTATTTTAGTAATTTTAAGGCTTATATATGTTATTTGTGCAGGAAATGTTTTCTCCCACCTGTCACTCAGGTTTTAACTATGGTTTCATTATCTTTAACTGGATTTTTATATAGTCCAAATTTCCTATCTTCCTTCTTACAGTTATTGGGACTCCTGTTCTGATTAGAAAGACTTTCCCATTCCCAAGATTTAAAAATATTCACATTTTTTCCTATTATTTTCAGAGTTACATATTTTTTCACTAAGCCTTTAATACATCTAGATTTTATTTTGTGTTATGGTGTTAAAAAAAAAAAAAACTAACAGTGAATTGCCTCAGCTCAATTCATTGAGTAATTTAAGTGCTATACTTATTTAAACTGCCACCGTTATAATAAATTCTCATAGACATTTAAATCTGCTCCCAGTTTCTCCATTCTGCTCTTCTAATTTTCTGTGCCAGTACCATACGGTTTTATACCAACAGGAATAGTACACTTTAACATCTGGTACATAAAAGTCTTCTTCACTATTCTGCTCGTTCAAAAACCTCTTGGGTCTTCTGGCACATTTATTCTTCCAGATGAACTTTAGAATCAATTTGTAAACTTACCTGTTGGGACTCTGGTTGGAAGTGCAAATTTATACATTAATTTGGGAAGGATTGACATGTCAATGATATTAACTTTATTCTTCTAGGGATATGATATGTTTCTCTATTTATGCAGGTCTTAGTTTTATATCCTTGAGTAAAATTCTACCTTTACATTTTCATAAGTGGAGCAAAGCTGTTTTATTAATTTTATTTCCATGTGGGTCTATTTCTCATCTGCACATTAAAAACAAAAATTCCAACAAAATTCGAGTAAAAGATCAGAACGCTAGTTTCTTCATATCCTATAAAATGACAGGGCTATCAGATGATGTTTAAGAACTATTACACCTCCAAAACTGCATGACTATCTACAAAAGCTATTATACAGAAAAGTTAACTTCCTAAAAACACTCTCTGTGACTCATCTAAAATATGTGGGTATTTACGTATAAAAGACTGAAAGTATATACACCAACGATGGTAAATTGGTTCCATCTTGAATACCAACTCTGATTCATCAGAAATGGCAGCCAAGAGTGGTAAACTGCGAATATCTAGGTTTGAGGGAAAATAAATATCATAATGAAATTATCAAATTTCTCTGAGGAAGGGAATGGAACACAGTAACAGAAATGCCAAGTATTTGCCATAAATGAGGTTCGTCAAACTATTCACAGTGGTTATTTCTAGAAGTAGAATTAAGGCAATGAGAAAGCTTTCATTTTCAGTTTATACATTTCTATATTGCTTGCATTTTTTTAAACAAGCAAATGTTACTTTCAAAACTAGCAAAAAACAATGAATATTTTAAATTTGTGAAAAATATCACAACTTCTTAATGGATATTTAACAGTGGTATGTTTCTATTTCACTCCCTCACATAAACTTATAATTTCCTTAAGAATTTCTCCAAAAGAGAATTCTTACAATTTAGATTTTTAGGTCTGCAAAATTAGAAAACAAATATATAAAAAAAGCTTACTTGTTTGGATAAAGTATTTTGAAAATATTAACATTATCCCTAACATTTATGCCATAATAGTATGTTACTATTCTTTTCTAACATCATGAGGAAAGTATGGACATAAACTAAAAAATTATACAGGAAAAAGCGGTTTGAGCACCTTCAACACTTACAATTCAATTTCAACCATGCCTTTGGAACATCCCCGCTTCACAAAAAAGCCAACCTAAGACAAAGAAGAGGAAAAAGTGAAATGTGAGATGACACTCCTGGATTAACAATCAGAGATTTAGTAAAGTCATTATTATTTATCAGCTCAAGATCCTTTCAGTAACTTCTTTGTATGTCCATCCCCATCACTTTCTAAATATACCCTTCCAAGATTTGGGCCCCTCCCAGTGTTGCAGCGGTTAAGTGCTCAGCTGCTAGTCAAAAGATTAGCAGCTTGAACCCACCCAGCAGCTCTGCAGGGGAAAAAAGACCTGGCAGTTGTAAAGATGACAGCCTAGAAAACCCTATGGGGCAGTTCCACTCAGTCACATGGTATTGCTATGAGTCAGAATGGACTTGACAGCACCTAACAACAACATTGTTTCCTCTCACAAATAAAAACAATATTATTATCATTTATTGAGCCTCCTACATATTAGCTTTGTACTACAAAGCTAGTAACAAAGCAAGTGCAGAGCAAATATTTGAAACCAGGTAATCCAGCTTAATATTTTGTTCTGTTATACTCATGGTTGCCAGGAGTTGGAGCCAACTCAACTGCAATAACAACAACAATCCAGCTTCAAAGTCTGTATTTAACCACTACACTCACCTCTCTCAAAGAAAAGAGAAAAAGAAGCCAGTGGGAAAACAGATCCTATATTATGACCACAAAGAGCTATACCAAACCCTCCTACCATCAATGAGGTCATCAACCATATTTTAAACAGGAGCAATATCATTACAATTTACATAGTAAAACAGTCATTTTTGAGCTAGTTTCTATATATGTGAGTATAAGCATGAAAACAGATCCCAAGCCTAAAAAGTTCAGATTGCATCTTAAATCAGGCCATAAGTACTGGTAATACAAAAAGAAAAAAGAAAAAGAAAGGCGAAGGGATAGACAATATACCTTGCAAATAAATAATTCTCTCTTTAACAGTGGTGATGGTAGTGATGATAACAATTTTCACAACTGCTAACATTTATTAAGCATTTACTATATGCTGCTACGCTAAATACCTGGAACATATTTTCTCATTTAATATTCATGAGCAACCTTATGACGTTTATATTGTATCCATTTTATAAATGATGAAACTGAGGCCTAGCCAGGTGAAAAAATACGCTTGTTCTTTTAACTAGGAAGTAGAGTTTAAGGATTAAGTGTATGGGTTTAACACCCAGTATGGAGACTCAAATCTCAACAGTGCCATATACAAATTATTTTACCATGGCCAGGTTACTGAAACTACCTCTGTTTCATTTTCCTTGTAGATCAGGAAAACAATGGAACCTTGCGGGAGAGCTATTTGCTCATTAGCTTCCAACAATTAAAATGTTTGGTATCACTGGGAGAAAAAAAAAAAATCAGGAGTTATTGTCCATACAGATGGTCTAATATATGCTTGTGTTAAATTTTTATATTAGCATTTAAAATAAATATAAAACTTTAAAATATTCTAGCTGAGGACTTCGGCATCCCCCAAATACATCTGTGGATACCCAAAAGTCTACAATTCTGTTGTCTAGGAAACACTGCACTCCATAGTCTTCCTTAAAAACCCTAATGCTCAAGGATAAGAAAAGATGCAGTTTTTTATGACAGAACTAAACATGGGAAGGTTGGTGAAAACTGTAACAGTTTAATCTATTCCCATCATACAGTCCCTGGAGTAAAATCTAGCAGACCATTTCACAGACAAGGATCTAATAAACCATTTCTGACAATTAAAAACTATCAATACTCATAAAAATTTCAGCTGGCTCTCTGAAGTGACCTACTTCAATCTATTCATCTTTAAAATGAAGAAAAACTGAGGTCTAGACAACTGGCTAAGGTCTCAAAGCTAATTATTAATGGAAAGCAGTATCTTTCATACCTTATTATTTCCCCTACAGCATTAAAAAAAAATTCCACAATTTTAAATGGATTTATAGATAATCTTAAATGATATTTGCTTCAATCTTGAAAGCTTACATTACATTTTAAGCCTGGCCAAGAAACTTGAAGTATCACTTGACAATACTACAATATTCACAGTAGTTAAAAATGTAAAGAATCATTTTAAGTTCTGAAAAAAATATTTTAAAGCGGGACTCTCAGATTTTTTTAAGTATATTTTTATTTTAAATGTTATGTACCAAACAGTATACTCATAGCGACCCTATAGGACAGAGTAGAACTGCCCCCTAGGGTTTCCAAGGAACAGCTGGTGGATTCAAACAGCAGACCTTTTGGTCAGCAGACGAGCTTTTAACCACTATGCCACAAGGGCTCCAAACAGTATATATAAAAGTCATATACTGTTTAAGAATAATAAAACCATGTTTCTACCAGCAGTTTAAGAAATTGAACATTATCACCCCAATTACATCCTTAGCACTCCTCAACAAATGTAATCTCTAAGCTGAGTTGATCTTTTTTTTTTTTACTTTTCTCTAGTTTTACTACATCTCAATTTCTAAACATTAAATACGTTATTTTTTCTGATTTTTGACTGTTACATAAACAAATTACGTGTTCTTCCAACACGGTATTTTTACTTAAAATTAGGTTTCTGGTATTTACCCAGTGAAGTACATTATTTTTCATTTTCTCTATCATATAATATTCTATCTTATTTGTCTATCAGAATTTGTTACAAACAGTATTGCTATAAATATCTCTGTAATTTCATCTTGTATAAATGTGCAAGAGCTTTCTAGGGTATCAAGCTTGTTAACTGTGTTGTTAAGTTTTCTGTATTCTTACTCAATTTTTGTATGATTGATTTGATTATTGATAGTTCTCCCACTATGATTATGGATCTGACAACTTGTTAGAATTGTCATTTTTGCTTACACATTTTGAAGCTACATTATCATGTGAATTCCAGTTGAGAATGGATTTATTTTTCAGCTGAACTGAATCTTTCATTAATACTTAATAACTACCTTTATCTCAAAAAATACTTTTTGCTTTAAAGTCTATTTTGCCTGCTATTGATCCAGTTAAACCTATTTTCTTTTGTACAGCATCTACCTGGCATGTATTTTCATCCTTTTCAACTTTCTGAATCTTTTCATTTTAGATATGTATATTATAAACAAAAAATAACTGAGTTTTATTTATCCATTGTAACAGACTTTATCATTTAACAACAGTGTAGACCATTTTATAATTATTGTCCTTTCTAATATATTTGGATAGATTTCTACCATCTTTTGTGTTTTATAATTATCTCATCTTCTGTATTTCTTTTTCTTCACTCCTTTTTCAAGCCTCCTTTTGGATTGTTTGGGTGACAGGGGTTTTTCTCTCTCATTCTACTTTTTGCCCTTTCTTGTTTGGAGGTTACATATTCCATTTCAATTTTTTTAGTGGTTATCCCAAAAATTTTAATATGCATATTTAACTGAATAAATTCTGAAGTTGATCAACTACCTTAACTTCCTCTCAACAATACAAATCCTTAGAGTGCTGTAACTCCGATTACTTCCTGTTGTCCAATACTTTAGTTCTAGATTGTTTGTTTTAAACTCCACAAATTATAGACATTATTATTTTAAACAATTTGCATATACTGCCCTACATGTTTACCATTTTTTTTGCTCAACATTTCTTTTTGCATCTCAGACCTTCCAGCTGGGGTCATTTTCCTTCCGCCAAATTACATATGTTCAAAGTTCCCTTAGTGAGGATCTTGGGCTTTATTCTTTTTTCTTTTCCCCCTACCTCTGTTCTGGAAAAATATTACTACTGAATATGCAATTACAGACTGGCTTTTATTTTCCTGGCAATGAGAATACTATTTCACTCTCTTCTGTCTTCTAAGAGTCAGCTCTTGGTCTAATTCTGGTTCCTTGGTAGGTTTTTTGGCTGCTTTAAAAATCTTCTCTGTTTGGTGTTTTGTAGTTCACTATAACGTAACTATGTGTGGATTTAATTTATCCTGCCCTGGTGGCACAATGGTTATGAGCTCAGCTGTTAACCAAAAGGGTGGCAGTTCAAATCCACCAGATACTCCTTGGAAGCCCTATGGGACAGTTCCACTCTGTCCTATAGGGTCACTATGAATCAGAATTGACTTGATGGCAACAGGAGTTTTTTGGATATATTAGGCTTCTTAGTATGAGGATTCATGTTTTTTAACATTACTGAAACATTTCTGGTCACTCTTTATTCAAATATTACCTCTTCCTTAGTCTCTCCATTATCTCCCTTTGAATTTGTAATTAGATGCATACCAGATTATCTTCCTTTATTTATGTCTCTTAACCTCCATCTTACATTTTCTCTTTCATCTTTACATTGCATTTTAAGAAACATTTTCAGATCTTTTAGTTCACAAATTCTCTCCTTAAATGTGGCTGCTTTGTTTTTCCTGTCCAAGTTTCTCTCTTCAACTAATATATTTTTCATTTTTTTTAAATTCTATTAGATTCTTTTTCACATCTGACAAATCTTTTTGTCACTTATTCCTTTGTTATACGTGCAACCTTGTTTTATTTCTTTAAACAAATCAAATATACTTAGTTTATATTCTCTATCTGATCATTCCAGTATCTACAAACTTTGTAAGCCTGATTCTGCAGTCTGTTGTTTTGGTTAGTTCTTATTTTTGGTGATTCATTTCCTCCCATGTTTTGTAGTTTTTAGGCATGGATTCATAAATTTCTTGAAACTTCACGTTAGAATTCTTTTGAGGACTGGATTGAAGGTATGTTCCTTCAGAGGATTTACCAGGTGTCTGCAGATAATACTAACTGGGACCACTTAAAAGTAAAATCACAATTTAAGACTTTAGTTGATGTTGATTAAGTGTAGAGTTGCACAGCTGATTGCTGTAATTTCTGTCAATAAGTTGCACACCTGTAAAAAGTTGAATTGGCAAAAGTTGTGTAATAGATATATTTACAACAATGACAGAAAAAAAAAAGAAGCAGTTGGCTGAGGTTGCTTTTGTACAACCAAAAACCTCATGGAATTCTGGTTTCTTGGTTTGGAGGTTTAGGGTCATGGTTTCATGGGACATCCCAGTCAAGTAGCCTAGTAATGTGTTTAGTGCTTCTGTTCTACCTCCTAGCTCAATGTGCAGTGCCTAGAATCTTAAAAGCTTGTAAGCGGCCTTCCAAAGCACAACTGGTCTCCATTTGCCTGGAACAACAAAGGAAGAAGAAGAGTCAGGAACAGGAGGAAGAAATGATATGTGTGGCTAACTAATTCCATCAACAACTGTCACCTCTGCCATGAGACCAGAAATGGATGGTACCTAGCTACCACTACTGAACATTGTGATCAAGGATTCTACGGTGGAATCCTGATCAAAAGAGGGAAAACGCAGAAAAGAATTTCAAATTCTCATGGACTCCAGACTTCCTGGAGACATTTAGCGTGGATGAACCCCTAAAACTATAGCCTGAGATAATGTTTAAACCTTATACCAAAAACATCTCCTGAAGTCTTCTTAAAACCAAACAATACTTTAGCTTAACTAGTAAAAAATGTCTGCCTTGAGCATTATGCTCTTTTAAGAACTTCTATATGGGATCAGGCTGCAACAATGGGCTCAAATATAGCAACGACTGTGGGGATGGCATGGGACCAAGCAATATTTTGTTCTGTTATACACAGGGTTGCTATGAGTCAGAACGGACTCACAACAGCTAATAACAATAATATATGGGATGAAATTGATAACAGTAACTTGAAAGATTAGATAGGAACCTTAGGGTTAATGGGGAAGGAACAATTCAGACAAGGAGGGTAAGAATGGTTGTACAACTCGAAGACTATAATCAGTCAGTCACTGAATTGTACATGTAGAAACCGTTGAACTGGTGAATGTTCTGCTGTGCATATTCTCAACAACAAAAAAAAAAGATTTTAGTTTAAATCATAATATGAATTCTAACCTTAAATAATATGAATTCTGGCCCCAAATGTGTTAAAGCTTGTAGTTAAGAATTCTTTGCAAGACTTTCTTTTCTCCCCCAACTCCATTCAGAGTTAACTATGAGATAAGTAACCCTCACTGTTCCATTCTTTGCTGTTTTTTTTTTTCAGCTACACACAGTGTTTGGCTTCTAGATTTTATTTTCCCTATATCTCCAGCACCCCTAACCTTGCATAACCAATTTAAAGTCAGAGTTTAAGGAGCTAGGTATCAGTAAATGCTGGGAAACAGGGCCAGAGCCTGCTCATCTCTTCAGATACACACTATTTTGGTTCTGCCCTTGGTAAATTTCCCTCACCTTTCCACAAGCCCAGCAATGTATTTAAAATGATGTATTTTACACTGTTTTTTTTTTAACATTTTAGGTGTTAGATACTTGGAGAATTCTCTATGTATACAGTGTAAAATACTTCCAGAAATGAAAATCTCTTCCCAGCTTTTCTACCTACCAACTTCATTCCTCATATTCTAGCACTACATATTTGCTATAATCAAGAAAATGACATGAAGAAATTGATTGATTAAAAGCAACTGATGGCTTTGAATCTAACGAAAAAAAGTTATGTTAACTTACTTTATCTGCCCGTCCCATGAAAGCAGGTTTGCCTGCTAATCCAAGGCAAATGGCACACACAATGCTGGACTTCCCTGTTCCATTAGCTCCAATAATCATATTCAAGTTGGGTCCAGGAGATACTTCACAGATATCATATGTTCTGAAATATAAAGAGGTGAAATTGCTTAGCAGAGACAAAAAAAGAAGAATATCTTCTTTATAAAAGCATGTATTCTTGCTTTATATTATCATTATTTAAAGACTTCCTCAAATTTCTTTTAAAAAAGCCATCTAACCTTATAAATTTAATGTTATTTATAGCTCGTTAATAAAATAGAGAGACAATCTATCAGTGGAAGAAATTAAAAAAAACCGTAATACAGATCTAAAATAACATCAGTGGGAAAATAAGATTTGACATGCCTTTTTCAAAAACATATCTGTTGAATAAAGCAAAGCTTGATATTTATTATTTTTAATAATTATAATATATAGTAGAATACATCAAAGCTACTGTGCAAATAACTTTAAACCTAATTTTAATGTTCGAGAAGCCATGAATTATCTTAAATCTGTAGATTTTACATTAATATTTCTCTTGAATTAAAATGCTTAATGACAACTTCCCGCATTTTAATATTGGAAACAATCCAATCAACATTTTTATTCTAATTGAACCATGGAAAATATATATCAGTTTTATTTTATGTTTAATTAAAAAATATATACAACATTCATGTCCTTCAATCTGCTGTCAGATAATTCACCAAAGGATCTGTTGCTAGTTCATGTTCAAATAAATTTTACTCCTATGGGAGCAAACAAGAATGTATCACCAGCACTTCTGTAATACTCCCTCATGCCAGAAAGCTGCATGTTCCTGTACTCTAACTATCTGCAATTAGCATCTCCTGCTTTTTAGTCGCCAGGGACAGTTATGGCAAAATGTGAAGCAAACTATGACTCAAATATTCTAACTTGTCTTTGAATACCCTGAAGTGGAACCCACAAAGAATGTCCCATTCTCAGAGAGTCTAAGTTAGCTCTCAGGTAGCTGTCAACTAATTCCCAAAGAATAAATGCTTAACCTGCTACTACCCTGCCAAGTATATATATCATTTAACCAAGTACACCTCAATTTGACACTTAAAGAAATTAACCATTTTAAAGTTCCAGGCAGTAATAAAAATAAATACTGGTGGTAAAGGAAAAGTATTTTCTGACAGGTTTTCCAACCCTATACCTCTCAATTCATACTACACAGCATCCATCTAATTTATCTTTTCAAATACTTTGCTCTGTTACCTACCACCTGGGTCTTAAAAAAAAGTCTTCTTACATGACCAGTAACTGACCAACTGAGGCATTCATTTTAAAAATGTTTCTTTCCACATATTCCACATCAACTTTGTAGAGTAGATTTTGATCACAAAAAAGGCTCTGAACGAAAATGGGAAAAAGAACTTGCATAATTTTTCTGCCTTAGTGAATAGATTCAAAAACTTTTAAGTTAAACTGCATATTCATAAATGGTTAAAATAAAACTAATCTGGATACTTCAAACATCTGGAAAATTACCTTATGTGGAACTTCTTAATTCCAATACACAAAGCCCCATTCTTTAAACACTTGAATTTCCTGCTGTGAAATCTCTGCACAAATGTCTTACTTAAAAAAGAGATGTAACTGGTATTTAAGACAACAGGAAAAAGCATGAGAATTTCTGGCCTATAACATACGCACAGATATTTTAAATAGGGAGAGCTGCCAAAAACAAAACAAAGCCTCTGCATCCTTTTGTGAGCTCCCTTTTCTCTGTCCAACCCCTGAAAGAGCTATTGTCAAAGGTGCAAACCCTCTTCTCACCCTCTATACTTTGCCTGCTATCTCATATTTTGCATGGCTTCAGGTACTATCTACATGCTCAAAGTCAGCCCAGATGACCTATTTATGCAATTATCTACTCAATAACTCTACGGGGATATCCCACAACAGTTACCGCAAACTTAATACGTTCAAAACTTATCTTACCATCTTTCCAAAACTACTCTTGTGGTCTCTTAGTGAATGTACCATCATTCATCACATTGCCCAAATTAGAAACCTAAACAAACAAAACAAAAAAACCCAAACCCACTGCCCTCATAGCAACCCTACAGTGACTCTATAGGACAGAGCAGAACTGCCCCATAAGGTTTCCAGGGAGCAGCTGGTGGATTTGAACTACTGACCTTTTGGTTAGCAGCCAAGCTCTTAATCACTGCACCACCATGGCTCCAGAATCAGGAACCTAGGCCTTAGTTCTACATCTTTGATTTCCTTCTCCTCTACTCACCCTCTGCCCCCATCTTTGAATCAATCAGTTATGTTGGTGGTCCTCCTAATTAGCTCTCGAATTTATCCCTCTCTCCATCCCTACTGTCATTACCTTGGCCCCCATTATCTCTTATCTGAATTATTGCAAAGGACTTCTTTAGTCCTGTCTAGCTCCTCCCTCCTCTAATCTAATCTCTTTAATTCACAAATGTAGGCCTAGCTTCATCTTTTTCTGGTGGTGCAGTGATTAAGAGCTCGGCTGCTAACCAAAAGGTCAGCAGTTGGAATCCACTAGCTGCTCCTTGGAAACCCTATGGCGCAGTTCTAGTCCATCCTGTAGGGTCACTGAGTTGGAATCAACTCGACAGCAACAGATTTTTTCCCCGTCTTTCTCTACTTTCTATCTCCTTCCTCTTTCTCCGTTCAGACCTCTAAATTCTAGATACAGGTAGTCCCCGACTTACAATGTATTTGACTTATGATCAATCACACTTAGGATGGTCCTTTTTTTGGTACATCTTATCGTTAGTAATACGTACTACATACAATGTTGCAGGGTGTAATCTGCTGATGTTATCGCTGTCAGATGTTCACTCATTTATACGCAATGTTTCCAAGCCCCCCAAAACAAATAAAGATAGGATTTATATAGATACTGATAATACAAAAACCAGGGAAAAAAAAAAAAAAAACCCATTGCCATAGAGTTGATTCCAACTCATAGCGATCCTATATGCGGCAATAATAATGAAAATCAAAAAACAAAAATGAAGTATTGGACTTCCGTCAAAACCAACTTACGACGGAGTCGTCAGAATGGAACCACGTCATAAGTTGGGGACTACCTGTATAATGAACTCAGTTGAGTTTCTTGACTAACTTATGCCTTCTCCTTTCTCCAAGACTTTGCAAGTGTTATTTTTTTCTGCCTAGAAACATCTACTCCCAACCCCATTGGATTTGGTTCACTCACAGGAAGCCATCCCTGACTCTACTTTCTTCTAGGTCATTTCAGTTCTCTAAGCCTACCCTTCCTACTTCTTTTCTAAAACTCAAAGTCCTCCCATTGTTAAAATAAACAAAACAAAAAACAAAAAACAAAACAAAACTAACCTGGCTCTTCACTTTCCAACCAACTTCTTTTCTTTCTCCTCTTCACATCCAATCTTTACTTCCTCATCCCTCAATCATTCTTCTATGGCCTGCAAAGTTTTTTATTTCCACTAATTTACCAAAGATCATACATTTCTTAATTGCTATATTTCAGTAGGCTCTTTTCAGTCCTGTTATCTGACTTCAATGTAGCAGATGATATTTTTGAACCAATTTTTTTCCTTGGCTTCTGTGATAATATTCTCCCTCGGTTCTCCTCTTATGTCCCTGAACAGCTCCTTCTCAGTCTGTGAGTTCCTCTCCTACTCACCCTTAATGTTGGCATTCATCCAGGGCTCTGTACTTGGCCTTGTATTCCTATTTATATTTCCTTTTGGGCAATCTCAACCATTCCTGTAACTTCAATAATCACCTATGTCTGATTCTAAAATCTCTCACCTATTCACATGTTCCTCCTAAGCCCCAAACCCCTATATGTAACTGCAATATCGAGATGTCCACACAGGAAACTTCAAGTCACAGGATCCAAGAGGCCATTTATTATTATTCTCCCCAAACTGTTCCCTCTTCTGAATAGTAGCACTATCTGACCAATTAACCAAGTAAGAGACTTGGGAAAAAAGCAGCACTCCTTTCTTCTCTTCAGGTCTCACAATTAATCTGTAGCCAAATCCTATCTAATCTCTTTTCTTTCTAATCCTACTCCTCACTACTACTCCTATATTCAAACTCCAGTCATCTCTTGCTTTGTATCACAAAAGTTTCCTCACCTCCAGTCTTGCACCCTTTCTGCATCATCCCCCACACTGCTTCCATAGTAACATACATCACGTGTCATTCCCCACTTAAAACGGCTTGCCTACAGGATGAAGTTTGAATTCCAGAGAATAGTAAACATATCAACCCTCAATGATTATGTACTTTTCCGTATTACCTCTACACATATTCACTTACATCCTATGTTCTAGTCATACTGAAATACTTGACGTTTTCTAAATATATCAAACTGTTTCAGGCAATTCTTTCTATCTGCACTGCCCTTCCCCTTTTTTGTCTATTGTGGGAAGAAAGCCTCCCATCTTTCAAGATTTTCAGAACCCTCTTTACAAAGCTCTTTTTCCCGTTTGTGGGCAAAACAAACCACTTCTTTTGTACCCCCATGGCATCTACGGTATCTACCTCATATGATTACATTTATTTATCTTTCCTGATCTAAATTCAAACAGCAATTCAGCTACTTATTAGCTGTGTAAATCTGGGCAAATTAACCTCTCTGAGCTTATCTCATCAAGGGAAATGATATATACAGAATTGTTATCAGAAAAGAATGGAGAGCATAGTGTAAATGCAGCACCTACTTCTGTACCTGGCACATGGCAGGCGCTTGAAAAACGATGGTATGGTTATTACAATTCTGTTCCCCTACTCCACTATGAGCAAGCTTAAAAAACACAACAAAAAATAAACAACAACAAAAACCGACCTTTAACAAATGAACTGTAAGATGCTAGACAGATACATGGCATTTTTATTACACCATACTTACTAAATTCTAAAATGATTACCAGTTGACAGAAGGGAGAGAAAAGGAACCAGGGAAGAACGCTGGTTTTGGAGAAATCAAGGGTCTGTTGGGAGGAACAACCATTGAGAGTGAGGTTTAATTTTCCTGTACATGTCAACCCCCATCCGAGACAACCTTTACCATCTTATCTACTCCTCTGTCCACCCGGCAAATGCCTAAGCTTTAAGAATCTGCCACAGTAGCATCACCGCTACTCGGATTGAACTGTTGCCTCCTGAGGTCCCAGAGCCCGCAGTTTTGTGAATTATAGATTATGTCCTCTATAGTCCGTTAGTTCCCAGCGTACTGACACCTAGCTCCTAGTACCTCCACTGCCTGCCAACATAACGCCTTCAGAAAACGTTGGCGGAATGCATAAAAATAACAAACCACACAACACACACATCTACCATACCAACACACGCGTCAATCTCCACGGCCTACGAGTAAAGCCTCACGGTAACATTGGACTCTTGGGACGAATTCACTGCCAGACCCACAACCCAGCACACGTTCTGTCCCCGCACCGGCCGTCACACACGCACACACCAGGACGTGTACACACGCACGCAGCTGGCGCCCCCGGCCTGCAGGCCCGTTCGCCTCCTCCGCCGCGGCGCGGCCTCTGGGCCACTCACAGGAAGTTCTCCATCGCGATGCGGACGATAGAGCCTTCCACGAAAGGCCCGGACGACTGCAGCGGTGGCGGCAGCAGCGGCGTTGGCGGCAGTGTTGACGGGGCAGAACTCTTTCTCTTGCTTGGGACCTCCGACGAAGGATCTCTCGGAAGAACTCTCTTGGAGGCCTGGGAGCTTGGGGTCGACGTCCTTCTGCTCGGAGTCGCCATCCTGGCTCCCTCTCCGCCCCGCAGCCGCTTCCGTTCCCACCGACCTGCAGCCCCGACGCCGCGGCCCCCGGCTCCCGCGCGAACTGTCCGGCGCGCGACAGGGCCCGCGAGCCCGCCCGGCGCCTGCGCACTTCCGGCCCGGCGGCGTCAGCTGGCCCGCCCCGCCGGGCAGAGCCGGGTGGAGAAGGCTTGGTTATGCGAAGACGCTGGCGGGCTAGAGAGGGGAGTCGGAGAGTGCAATAACGGGACTTTGGTCTCTGTACATTCCTGCATTTTTGGAAACGGTGTCTGTTGTTTTTAGTATTTTGAAAGCCATTTCTGCGCTCCGAGGAAACGGATGCGCTTCCCGACCCTCGGTCATGGCGGCGGGAGGGAGTGGAGGGGCGGTTGCGGTGCCACCCGGGGCGCGGGGTCGTCCGAGACGAGCGACGTCCGACCCGGTCGCTTGCTGGGACTCTGTCCGAGTGCTCCGGGGCATGCTGGTCTTTGGCTTGTCTCGGTTTCATTCCTCTTTGTTACAACAGAGGTACCCCGTCTCAAAAAAGGAAACTTTCAAATGATTCTGTATTTCTTCCATGCAGCGTCGTGTTAGGTCTCCTCGCTCTCAAAATTGTGGAAAAGAGTACACTGCCCAGATTTATCTTCACTGACTCTCCAGCCCCTCGCTGCTTAATCCCCTGGTAAGATTTCCTCCCGCAAGGTTTCTGGAAATCCCGGAGCTAGAATGTGCTGCGTTCATTGAAAGGGTGATTCTTCTCAACCTTCTGTCGTTTATCTAGTTAACCATCCCCCTCATTAAAGATGAGGGGCACGGAGGCCTACATAGATCGTTAGTCAGTCAACTAAATGTCTAATCTACTTGAAGCTGGGTGCTATGACGGAAATGAAACAGAATGAGCGTGATGGGGGAAGCACAGAAGGCCTGTCAGAGGAGGTGATGTCTGAGCTGCACCCTGAAGGACAAGAAAGCCAGATGTGTGAAGATGTGGGAAAAGAGCATTTCAGGAAAAGGACACAGCAAGGACAAAGGCCCTGAGGTGGGAACAACATGGCATGGTTGAGGAACAGAGGGAAGGCCAGTTTGACTGCAGTGTAGTGAACACGGTAGCATAACAATATTGCCCACCATGTTGTTAGTGTTAGTTGCCATCCCATTGGCTTCAACTCATGGCCATCTTACCTGTACCAACAAAATGTTGCCTGGTCCTGTGCCATCTTCACAGTAGCTGGTATGTTTGAGTCTGTTGTTGTGGCTGTTGGGTCAGTTCGTCTCACTGAGGGCTTCACTGATTTTTCAGTGACCTACCAAACATGATGCCCTTTTTGTAGCTATTGCTCCACCATGACAGTCTAAATGGAAAGCCATTGGATAGTTTTAAGCAAGAGAGGGACATGATCTAATTAAAGTTTTAAAATGACCACTCTGGTTGCTCCATGGAGAATGGATTGGAGATAGTCAAATATGTAAGCAAGGAGGCCATTTAGAAAGCTATTGTAGTAGAACTCCTGGACCAACAGTTGTTTTCCAGGGCCATGCTTCTTCCTCTCACACAGATGGAATCCAATCTTTCTCAAAGTTATAATTAATGAAAATAGAATAGTTAAAAAGTATGTGAACTTCTTTTGGCTACTAGAAAAAAATGCAAATTAAAAGAGAGTAATTTAAAAACTGTTCCAATGGCAGGCAATAATGCTAAAATGCTCAGTACTCAGGAGAGCACAATACTGGCATTCTCTACATTACCAGTGTAAATATTTTTAAAAGTAATTTGGCACACTGCTTCAAAAGTCTGAAAACAGTCCAGTCTTTAAAGAAGTAATTACGTTTGGGGCAATCTGTCCTAACGGAAAAATAATAATATAGGCAATAGTAATGGGAATTGAAGTCAGGGAACCAGGCTTTAGTTTTCTACCACCATCAGTTCTTAAATAAACTAATAAAATTGTGTTTCTGAACTTGAAAGTAGAGGACGAGCCCCTGAACTTGTGATAACTCCACAAATTCAGACGCTAAGCAGCAAAGCAGTCATGCTCTAACACTATCATTTAAAAAGGAAAATGTTATTGATTTGTCTCCTGGTTCTGTTGCTGCTGTTCTTGCCGTCTGCGCTATCTCTGGTGTTACAGCTCTCCTTATTTGCTTCTGAGCTCTCACTAGACATTTGTTCAGTGTGTAATATAATATCCTTTCAGGCCGTTCTTGTATTTTTTACATGCATTTTATCTACAGAAAATATGTAGTACTATTATGAGTGTGAATGTATTACATGAAAGTATTGAGTAAGTATATAATGTATTACATAAATATATTGCATAAAATCCAGTAAAATAGTTATGCAACTTGGTATTTCAGTCAAAAATATTTTTTGAGGTGTATCCATATATTTTGAGATATACCCATGCTGACACATATATATCTGGTTCCCTTTTAACTGCTGAGAGTGGTTATGTCACACTTTATCCATTACTCTGTAGATGTACACATAGATTGTTTCCAGTTTTTCATTATTATAAACAATCTTCAGGGAACATTATCAAGAATGTCTTTATGTATACATGCAAACATTTCTCTAGGACAGATCCCAAGAAGTAGAATCCCTAATCCATAGGGTATGTGGTACTACGTTTATTACTGTCCTTGAGTTTATTGGTATTTTGGCTATTGTTGCTTGTGGCTAATTTCTTGGTAACTGATTATTTTAAAATTATATCAGAACAAAATCTCTCTTTCTCTCTGGCATTGTCTTGCTGGCTATGCTCTTCTCTGCCTCTGTCTCTCTCTCTCTGTCACACACACACACACACACCCCCCTCCTCTAGACAATGCCCCTTCTTTATCCCACCAGATCCAGATTCTATGGGGCCTGAAATTTATCTAATTTTTGAAGCCCCCTCTAAAAAAAGTACAAAAATTACAAATATAAAATCAGGAAAACCAAACCCAACCCGTGGCTGTTGAGTTGATTCCTCCTCATAGCAACCCTACAGGACAGCTACCCTATAGGGTTTCCAAGGAGTGGCTGATGGATTCGAACTGCAAACCTTTTGGTTAGCAGGCGTAGCTGTTAACCACTTCACCACCAGGACTCTAAAATCAGGAAAGTGAATATTTATTAGAATGAAGGAGGAAACCACAACCTCAGCACTATTGACATTTTGGATGAGATAATTCTTTGTTGGGGTGTGGGGTCAGCTGTCCTGTGCACTGTAGGATGTTTAGCAACATTCCTGGCTTCTACCCGCTAGATGCCATTAGGACCTCCTAGTTGTGACAACCAAAATGTCTCCAGAAATTGCCAAATCCCTCCCAGTTGAGAGCCATTGCTCTAATCCTACCCACTCTTTCAGAGAATAGAAAAAGAAGGAACACTCTCTAACTACTCTTATGAGTCTAACTTTGTCTAAAACCAGACAAGGACATTAAAAGAGATGAAAATTTCCTGTCATTCTCACTCATGAACATGTATGCAAGTATGTAGCAATGTTGAAAAAAGTAGTAAATACATCATGACCAAATGGGGTTTATTGTACATGGGTACCTGGGTACCTATACAAGAATATTTTAGTAGCATTGTTCACAGTAGCAAAAAACTAGAAACAACCCAAATATTCATCAACAATAAACCAACCAACCAACAAGCAAAAACTCAAACTAGTTGCTATCAATTCCAACTCATGGTGACCCCATGTAGAACTGCGCTCCACAGGGTTTTTATGGCTATGACCTTTTGGAAGCAGATCACTGGGCCTTTTTTCTGGGCACTTCTGGGTGGGTTCAAACTGCCAAGCTTTTGGTTAATAGTTAAGCAATTAATAGTTCGTACCACCCAGGTGTCCCATTACCAATAAATTGTGGTATAATCATTTAATGGAATACCATACTATACCAAAACCAAAACCTATTGCCAATGAGTCAGTTGCAACTCATAGGGACCCTACAGGACAGGGTAGTACTGCCCCATTGGGTTTCCAGGGCTGTAATCTTTACGGGAGCAGACTGCCACATCTTTCTCCCATGGAGTGGCTGACCTTTCAGTTAGCAGCTGAGTGCTTTAACTACTGCACCACCAGGGCTCCTTATACCATACTATAGTAACAATTAATTAATTACAACTAGAAATTCAATTCTAGTAGTGGTTCAGTAGTAGAATTCTTGCCTTCCATGCGAGAAATGCATGTTCCATTCCCAGCGGATGCATCTCTTACAGAGTCACCACCTGTCTGTCCGTGGAGGCTTATGTGTTGCTATAAGACTTAAAGGTTTCAGTGGAGCTTCCAGACTAAGATGGCCTAGGAAGAAAGTTCTGATGATCCACTTTGGAAAAGCAATCAATTGAAAACCCTGTGGATCACAATGGTCCAGTCTGCAACTGATCATGGGGATGACACAGGACTGGGCAGCATTTTGTTCAGTTATGCATGGGGCCTTAGGAGTTACGGCAGACTTGACAGCAGCTAACAAATTCAATATTGCTGAATCTCAGAAACAATTTCGAGCAAAAAAAGCAAGTTACAGAAGAATACATATACAATTATTTCATTTGTATAATTTTTTAAAACCAGCAAAACTAACCAATATATTGTTAGTACAAAAGAAAAAGAAATTTTAGGAAAATGATTACCCCTCTGGGAAAGGGAAGGATATGTGACTGGGGTGGAGTACTCAGAGCACTTCTAAGTTGTTGATAATCTATTTCTTATGTTGTGTCAGT